GCAAAATCCAATAAATGCAGAATAAGATTAATTCTGCAGGTGTCTTCCCTTCTCTAACCAGAAGAGTAGAAGGCTGAGTTCTGTAGCTACAAATATACTCAGATATTTAGAGCATCTCCTAATTAGGGCCATTGAACGGAGAAAAATTATTTATTCTCCTTCCATTAAATATCCTTCTGCCATACGAGTCATCTAGACAGCAGATGAAAGGTTTGCTGGAGTGACACTTCTCCCAGCTCAGGGGCTGACTGTCTCCAGGGTGCTCCAGCATGTGTCCGCAGCACAGCAGCAGGCTGCCTCTCCCCTGCCCCAGGGATTACGGGCCCCACGGGACCCCCATGGCACGGGGCTCAGGCTGGCATGATGCAACACAGCATAGCACAGTGCCAGCAGTCCGGGAAGAGCTTTGAACATGATGCAAGAGCTACAACCAAGCAGTGAGAGTGCCACCGCAGGTGATTGCTGCCATTTCCTTGTCCAGCAGACTCATGCCAATCAGTAGTGTTAACAGTGCAGAGATTTTTGTGGTATTTAAAGGATCAAAAATAAAGATTAAGACCTTCATCTTCCTCAAATGGTATGCAATATTACTTCTGGGGAGCCTTTATGAGGTTCATTCTCTAGAGAAAATCCAGCCTGTTTGTAATATCCCTGAGACAACCTCACTCAGACAGAGATTAGCGTTACAGTATCTGCATTGCTCAGGCCACTGCGACTGCTCCCATGCTGGCAGGCAGTAGTGGCTTTGCAGCAGTGGGTTCAGCATTGCCCTGTACCTCTTCACTGGATAAAACTTCCCTGTAGGTAAGAAAAGGTTTGTGTGATTCTCAGCATCACTCCAGGACTGGAGATGCTAACCTCAAGCCCCATTTTCAGCACGGTGGCAGAGCCAAATCCCCTCCTCCATAACGAACGGTCTTAGCTAGGCATCCCAAACCTGAAATGTCTCACAATGCTTTCATTTAACACTGCCAGGTGACAACCCTGCGACCAGGTCCGAGGGCTACATTCAATTTCCAACTCTGCTGCTGTGGCGTGTGTTGTTCCTGCCCAAGCGACAACCACCAGTGGTGGGCTAATGGCAGCGACTGGTTGTGATGGCTGCACCTGGCTCACTGTGGATTTGGGGAAGACAAATAACACTACAGTAGCCAAGGGCTAGTTTGAACAATGTGCTCACCTAACCACAGTGCTGGTCAATGCCCGACTCAAGCCAAATTTGGAAGAAGCTAACACCTGTAGTCAGTATGTAAATATGACTTAAGTTAATTATTTTACTCTACAAACAGTGGAGGCCCAGGGCCTGCTGAGCCCTCCTGCACGGCCATGGGCTGCATGCCAGGATCTCCCCCTGAGCAGGGACACCTCTCAAGGTTACTCCTCAAGGTTGAGAGAGTCCCAACAGATTCTTGGTAAGGAATTAATATCATACTACACTTTGAAATTCTAACTAAGTGATATAAAGGCTTGACTGTGCACATATAATTCTTTAGACATAAACCATTGACCAAGGCTGGGACTAAGTCTGGATCCAGCTGCACCTAAACTCCTCTCTGAGAAGGAGTTTAGAACTCACGGGGGCCCTTTCTGAATCTCATGACTCAATGGGAGGGTCTTCCTGACAGCTTTGTCTGACCCTGTCCTCTATGCAGTAAATAGTCAAGTGTACCTTGCTGTTGAATCTTGTTAAGCCACTGTCACATTTACTATCAAACTTTGTTAAATGTCTGTTTTATATCAATAAACATATTGCTGCTTCTCTCTTACAAGTGCAGTGTGTCACTCCATCTACAACGGCTGCTCACTTGTTCCATTAGCTTATCATGCTGTTTTTCACAGTTATAAATGGGAAATGTCTGTAAGTACATCACAAACATGGATGAGAGCCAGTCTGACAATGTCTCTAAAGCCCTCAGAGACCATGGGGAAAAAGAAACAGTGTCCAGTGTTTGCTTAAAAGCACTTAATATTTTAATGTTATTTCTCATAAACTGAAGCCCACGTGTATGTGTTAGTATACTGCACTGCAGGTGCCTGAGGTAGCTACAGTTATGTGTAAGATGCAGCACAGAGTTTGAGTGGGATGCAAGGATAAATTTTGAATTGATTTTCCCTTTATCTAAGCTCTATATTGTTTCTTTATTTATACCATACCATAAAATATCCTATAAGTTTTTTGTTTAATTTCTCTGATTTACAGAACACTTTTGCATAGTCTGCTGGTTATATAGCTATCATCCCATTCTATTAATATTTTCATCATTAGACATTAAGGGTGTTTTCCATTTGCTGCTCGGCTGCAGGACAGAACTGATTAGCTTGGCCCAGTGATCTGTAAATTCAGGAGCGTTGCACTATGCACCACAGACTACACCATATAGTATAGACATGTGTATAAACTGTTTCCTGGACTTAAATTTAGGTCTGTTTAAATGCTGTTGCAAGAAACATTAAAAGTGTAGTAAATAGAAAAATGCAGTTATTTATAGAATGAACACACTGACTTGTAAATTACTGTACGGTCCAGAAGTGATTACATAAAATAATCCCACCGCTCCAATACCCTAACTTTCCTACGAAAACACAGTTTATCAGTTTTACTTTCCACGTCTGAAGATAGCACTGTTCTGCTGCTTTTTCATGGTCACTCTATGCTGACATTTGCTGTGTCTAATATAAAACCAGATTAAGTTATATGAGTTTCTACAAGCATAACTCAACATTTGAAACTATTGGGGCACTGTGTTTGGTCATTCAGCCAGGAGAGAAGTTCAGCCCAGTGCAGGCAGTCAGCACAAGACCTGGCAACCAGCTAAGTCTGTCACGTCTATCCACAGGAGCAAATCTCTGTTTCAGAGGTACAATCCAAACACTAGTTCTGATTTGAATATTTTATGATGTTTTCACTGTAAATTTCCCATAAGGCTCCTCATGAGTTCCCTGTTGGTCCAATACCTGCACTACATCAAGAAACTCTTGTAAGTCTACCGCAAAAAATAAATGGCACCAATCCATTTTCCTAGAGCAGGATGCCATGGAATAATGAGCAAGTACTGAATTTGAGAGATGCAAGGACCATTTCTGCTCTTACTAATGCCATCAAAATCAAGAGCAGGCTAATAAGCAAACAAGAAAAAATATTCAAGCATGTTTCATTTCCTGTCCAAATGTCAGTGTATAAAAATAGATTTGGTTTTTTTTTCCATCTAAAGTGAACTGATGACTGTTATTGAGAAACATTGTCATTCTATTGTGGCAAGCGATCAGGTGTATCAGGTAAGGTAGGAATGTTGGAATAAAGGACACATATATCATCATGGCATGGACCATCTAGGAACACAGCATCTATGGTATGCCTAAAATAACTAACATCTCCATCATCTGTACCAGAAACATGGATTCACTTTCACAACAAATTCAATAAGCATTGCCTCAGTATCAGACTGCCTCTGGAACCCTTCTGTACTGACATAATTATCCTACGTGCTACAATCAAGATCAGGAATAGTAACTTAAAAACTAACATCCACAGCACAACCATAAATCAGTGTTTCTACTTCCATAAAACTGGTAACCATCTCAAACACTCTCCAAAAGCAGTAAAATACTCCCTGACCTTCAGACACTACCCTATTTGCTCTGGGAAAAACACTTGCATGTCTTATCTCCTTAACCTAAAAAGGACTTTTCTACAGCAAAAATATACTGTGAGATAGCATTTACAAGGAAACTGTTATAAATTACATGGTATGCAGGAAGAAGTTATCTGAAAAGTGTCTTTCAAGAACCTCTTTTCAGATATTCGGAATGAAAATGGAGCAAGTGGAGCTAGATATTTGACAGCAGATCTGAACGTTGCAGTTTCTCATCTCCACAGTAAGTATTCCCACAGCAGTAAATGCTTTCCACAACAAAGCCATCCAAATACCATGTTCCTTCTGTTACATATCCTAATTTGAACTCTCATGGATGCTACCAATCTACTAAACACTCTCATGAAACTGCACGTAGCTACACACTAAAATGGACTTTCATAAACATTTACTAAAGGACAGGAACAGACAGCAGGTTAACATTTCTCAAAAAACAATCACTCCACCTCTCACTTCTTGCTCCTGATCTACAAAGACAGCTTCAAAAGATGCACATTCTCCTTAGCCCACAACTACTGCCTATCTTTATTTTCCCTCAGATTATCTCATTGATATCTAAAGTCAGAAAAACTCAGCTGCTATTTAGATTTGAAGTCTATTGCCTGTATTTCACACTTGAAAGAATTGCATGCCCAAAAGCTTTTTTACATTTTCCTGTTTATACAATCAAAAAAAAAAAAGTTACCTCTATCTACAAATTCTCTCTTAATCATGTCTGAAGAGCAGTACAGCTGTAACCCTGAAAGGATTCCTTACCCCTCAAGCCAGTAGACCTCCAGGTCAGAAAGTTGCTGCTGCTGATAGTTTTATACTCCCATAAACCACACTGAGAGGAACAAATAACGATAGAAAAACAGCTGCAGTGTTTGCTTGACTTTTTGCCAACAGAGTATTTTTGTTCTATTTCTTGTAAATTATTCCATAATTCTTCATTTTCTAGCATTTTTTAAATTTTATAATATCTTTTTTGATTCCTTCTGATTAAATATACTGCAATAGTGTTTTCATCTCACTAGTAAACACTGTGTTCCTTGGCACTTTAATGTATACATACGTTTAAACTACAAACATTTTTTGTTATTTGTTCATGGCACGTTTATGCTAGTTGAAAAACTAAAAGGCAAAATATCTACTTGGTATTGAAAACTCCATCACAAATAGTAAATTGATCTCCTGTGTAAGCATAGCTGCTTTTGTAACCATTCGGCTTTGCCACCAGTAGTTATCAACTTAGCTAATAAGTGTTAAATGACATTATGTAATCCATGTTAATTGAAAGCAGATGTACTCAGAGTAAAAATTTGAGATCGATGTGCAAAAATTCCATTTCACATATTTTATTGTTCCGCAAAGCACATTACACATATAAACATGCAGTCATTGAATAATGTGAATTGTTAAACACCTGTTTGTGTTAACTCTAACACCATTCTGATCTAACGATACTGAAAGTAGTATGTCTTTGAAATTGTCTGTAGGGGAATGAAAGTCAAATTTATAGCTGTCATTTCTTCTTCAACAAACCTATTACTGAAGTGTAATTAAGCTCTTCTGCAACTGCTTAAGCACAAAGAGGATTTTCCCACTCTACATGTAACCCATTACTAAAGACAAGGAAAATTGTGCCCTTGGTTGCATTTGCAGGAGCCTAGTGCATTTGCAGGGTTTTCCACCGTGTTCCTGGCATTTGTTTCTGCTATAGTTACTTCCAGTGGAAAACTTCAGGGGTTCCTCCTTGCTTTCTTTTCTACACATTCTAGATTGTGAAACAGGCTGTATGATAAAAGCAACTACAAAACCTATCAGTTCTCTTTTGGGCTACATGGGCTATCAGATTGTAGAAGAGAGACCCTTCCTTTCATACCTGTCAGTGCCATTGCCAGTGTGCCGTTGGGCTTCAAGAGAGTAAACACCCCAAGTATTTCAGGCCCTGGTGCTGTGGTGTCCAGCAGCAGGAGCATCACAAGCCAACAATTTTAAGGCAACATCCAAGATGGATAATGTTGTTCTTATGACATGCAATGTACTGTGAAGTTGCTGACACACAGATTTGTGTTTGAAAGCATGTGAAGTCATACATATGAGATTCAGGTTTTGTTCTGCTTACCAACGTGACATAAAGTTTACGAGTATTTTTTTTAACTCTTACTATGTCTTAGAGAAATAATAAAAAAGTTAGCCTTAAGAGTGCTCAGACCTTCAATTCCTGCCAGCACACATCCAAAGGGTATCATATATGATGACAAACTGGTACACTTCTACTTTTAATAAAGGTATAATATGCCCTGAGTAAATTTTATTAAAAGAGGTGTTCTCCAAAACTAATGGTATAGTTGACAAACTTACAGCCTTTAAGAAATAGAAGGCTCTTGTTGGCTCTGCTTTTCCAGGAAAAGAGGAAATCATCAGTAGTCTCTCCCATTTCTACCTTTGCCCCTAGATGAAAGCTATACAGCACACAGGTTTTGTGCTATTAATGGTAAAAGATAGGTCTTTGGTGGAGGAATTAATTACCAACTGAGAAAAGATGATACCTGTAGCACAGATAAGGGTGATTAATTCAGTTACAAACCTGCATTAATTTCCCTGTGCCAAGACATTGTTTTGAGAACAGGAGTTTGACAGAAAGCAAACACACAGAAATTCACATACAGAAAATGTAAAGGCTGTCCCTTCATCTCACAGTTTTCCAGTCAGCTCATAATATCCAGATTTTCATTTCTTCAAGGAAAATAAAACAATAGCTGACTACCAAGTTAGTGGCAAACGGTAAGTCACATAGGTAGAATATTACATTCATGTCTTATTATTTCGTATATAAACCTTTAAAGTGTTATCTAAAATAACATACATGGTTACCAGACCAAATAGCCCATATAATCTATGCTGAAAATATCACCGTTATTTACAGGAACCTAATTAAAATGAACTTTATCTGTGTTTGAGAACTGCAACAACCCTACTCTTCCAGAGCCAGACCACAGCCCAGCTTTATGCTGCTGGGCAGAGCTCTAAGGAGGAAGATGCCCCTCACACACATGAAGTAAGCATTGGCCACTCAAAGATCTGGCTCACCTGCTTCTGGAAGAAGTGGGAAGAAGCTTGCAAACCATCACTCCCTGATCAAGTGTCATGTCTTGTTACCTATCCCACCCCTCAGGCTTTACAGTTACATGCCACCCTTTGTTCAACTGAACTCTAAAACTGCTCTTCCAGTCCTTGTAGGTGTTCTGCCAAGACATTGTGGAATTTAGCCAAAATAATAATAATAAAAAAGCTTAGACATCCTTTCATTCTGTTTGAGCTTCTACATATACACATTATCATCATCTTCTAGCACCGTTGGTAATCACAACTACAAGAAATAAGCAAAGAGAAAATCAGGAATATATGATGTTATTTTATAGGCACTTCTATAACCATGTAATCTGCTTCATAGTTAATTTACCAAATTTCAGTATCTGCTTTAAAGAAAAACAACTGGTTTGGGCTGTATAAAAATGCTACCTTTGAGACCCAAGAAATCCCACGCTGCTTTACCAAGCATGAATTAGATACCAAAAGAATCATTCCTTGCAAACAGAGCATCTAGTATGCACTGAGAAACAGTTCACACAGAGCCTTAGTATTAGCACTTGTTCTTTTGTGATTTAATAAAAAAAAATCTGTGCTTCAAAAGAAACAGCTAATCAGATAATCAGGCTGTATTTCATAGGCGTTGAGCAGTCAAGCTCCCCCAAAAAGTCACTGAATAAACCAACAGGATTACGATTTTATGACTACACATTGTATTCATCATAAAGCATGGCCAACATTCACACTGAGGTTGCAAGATTATTACATGGCTACCTGTGCTCTATAAAAGAGAGATATCGTGTTGAACAGATTATAAAATGGTACTGCGGTATTAGATATTATTAACATATTACTTTTATTAATCTTCGTTACCTACCACCAAAACATTAGCACTTCAGTGTAAACACTGCAAAACATATACATGATTTAACAGATTGAATATTGACAGAATCTAACACTTTGGATCTGTTATCTATCCAGAAGATCTAGAAATAAGGCATATGGTCAGCAGATAGGAGAGTTTAAAAAAAAACAGCCCAAGTGCTTTGCTTTCCTCCCACACACCTTAACTCTGTCAGTTATGCTGCTGGATTCCTCATAGCAAATCTCGTATCTTGAGGCGGTCATACCTGAGGAAGACTGTTAGCTGGCTGAAACATCATTCTTTTAGTTTTTTCACTTTCCTGTGTACAAAGAAAACAAACAATGAATAGCTAGAGGGCTCAGTCTTTTTAAAAATCTTGACAGAGTTTTCTGCTAGGAAGATAACTGCATGGCCTGAGAGACTTCATTTGTTCGTGTTCACACATTTATACACAACTCACACTTTATTCCACTCAGAGGATCTTGACATAAAATTGTAGAACTGATCACATCTCTGTGACAGAAGCTTGACAGTTTTCCCACACAGCCCTGTCAAAACTTCCCATCAGTAGCTGTAAACAGAATTAGCAGGGTGGCCACTTAGCAACCAAGTGCTTTTGCTTTTGCAATCTTACAGCATGGCGCCGTCTCCTTTTAGGCTGAATGCAGTCCTGTCCGTATGATGGCCACTGAAAATCCTGGGGCAACGTTTTGCTATTCTGACCCTCCACTTCTTCAGAATCGGAGTCGTCTTGTTCCATTGAAGGGAAATGTCTATCTGGATAAACTTCCTTCAGCTTGCCCTCAAAGAATACAGCTAGGCACCGTCCAGCCTCAGCAACCTCTGAATCTGGCTGTAAGAGAATAAATAACCATTCAGTGCTATTGCACACAGAAATCATTACGGATCAAAACCAAATGACTACCCTACCCTAATGTCTCGCCTTGGTTCTGCCTGCTACATCTCCATCAGTCTCCTACACACTTTCTACAGTCCATTATTCTCTCTGTATTTACAAAGTAAGTACAAACCAGAAGCTGCTATTAAGGAACACATTTCTGCACCTCTAAGAAGAGATGTGCGGTGAACTAGAAAGAATAGTAGTCATCCTTGCTTAGGAATTTCTATGCACCTGAATTTTCCCTAGTTATTTTGCTGGTTATGACTAGCTTCTCACAGAAAAGTCAGCATCATTCCAAAAAGTTGTCCACTCACATGTCCCTCTTTCATTTTAGATCCATTTGTACCTTATGTTCACAGATCCATATATATATCAATTTCTGTCATTTAAAAAAAAATCATATTATTTCCAAAGAGAAAAACTGATTAATACTTCTGTTTATCGCAATCCCATATCCGATGTCAATGGAACCAATAGTTACATCGGTGTGACAGCTTGAAAGAGCAACTCCCTGGTTTGCATCCCCCCACCCATGCATACTAGAGAAACCTACATAATTGAACTTTGCACAGTTCCAAAACATGAGACGCACATCAGTCACAAGTTCGTCTGGGGAAGAATAGTGGGACTTGTTCTTTTTTTGCAGCTTGTTTCGTATGATTGACAAATCCATTGGCCTTTTGATGATCTGATAATAATGCCGAGCCTGCAATAAGAATAAAATGCAGGTATGTAACCTTTTTAATTAAAACATTTCCTCTCCAATGCATTCTATCCAAATTTGGACAGCAGTCACTGCAGAGGATTTCTTGCATCAGGTAAGAGAACTCTAGACTTTTGGTGCCTACACTTACATATCTTCTTCCTAGGTGCTTTTTGGTTTGATTAAAAACATATTTGCTTGCAAGATTGACCTTGAAAATAGAACACTTCTGTGACTACTTTGCTATTTGCACTTTCTAAAGTTTATCCCCAGATATAAATGTCATCATTTAACCATAATCAGTAATATATGTAACACTGACAATTAGCTAACATTTCCCCCAAGCAGTTTTATAAAAATAATGCACTGAGATACTGGCAGCTGATACTGTGGGAAGTAGTCTGCCAAGATTGGCTAAAAATATGCTACTATGCACTCTTTTTAAAGTTCAACCAAAGTCTTTTTCAATGGGCACCAGCTACCATGATATCCCACTCTTTAAATCTTTCTGTGTCAAAACCTACTTGTTAGATAATGTGTTTCATAAGTACATTGCAAGCTTTATTAGGTGGAATGATTTTTATATTGTTATTTAGACTCTTCCTTTCCATAAAACCTTTTCTTCCCCCTCTCATTTTCCTCCTCCAACTTGTTTCACATTGCGTTCTATGGTTACAGTAGCGTGAATTTACATCTTCCTTAAAATAGCCAGTTAATATTGCAAATGTTGAGTACATGGATGAAGCAGGAGTCTCTACATCTTCCCCCAAACTCAGTCGCATTACTACCTTTGTGCAAAACAGCAGAAAAGAGGGTGCCCAGGGTTATTTCTAAAGCAGACCTCCCCTATGGCAGTGCAACATTCTCCACGTGTGAGACACAACTTGCAAAAACAGGCCCTAAAAACACGTCCTCGTCTGGGCAGGACATGACACCATGTATGCAGCAAGTCAACTTTCTTACTCATTGGAACCCCTCATATACCTTTAGTATCCTACCAGCATCTTAAATTAGCACCCAAACCTTGCCTGAGAACATTGGCCAGCATTTACATGCCTCCAACCTGGCACCTTCAAAGCACTTGCAAGAGTGAAACGCCTACTCTTCCCTAGGAAGCAACACTGTTCAGAAAAAAAGCTAATGAATATCTCAGGAAGATGAAGGAGGAACTCACAAGGTGTGCCAGAGTATTCTTTGGATTCCCTCTAACCCATGCATGTGCAGTACTTACCAGGGGGCTAACAGGTTCATGGAATGGGAGGCTCATACTGCTGCAGAACAGGGAAAGCACCAGCTTTTCACACTTCTGTAGAAGCCAAATTTGAAATGCATTTTAATTCAAAAAAAGAGTTTAATTCTTGCCCTTAGTTAATCATAATACTAACAACAAGAGGTCTTTTCATGTACTCTGTGCATTTCTGATGTAAAATGGCACATTTGACTCTAACCTGGGGGATGTTTTGCCTCATAGCATTTTTATAGCTTTGAAAGTGAGGATAGTCAAGAAATTCAAGAAAGGAAATATTATGTAAAAATTTTTGTATGCATGTATCTTTCCTGTAAACTTTTGGGAATTAATTGCTATCACTATTTCCTTTCTGCACTCCAGATCTATTCCTTGAATCTTGGCTAAAAGAACAGCAGCAACAGTGTGGAAACAGTTACATGGAAAATGCTTCACTCTGTTCATATCCATTCATACAAAGGTATGTAAGTGATGTAGTTGGTAGTACTGTATGAAAACAGGTCTGTTTAATCATCATTAACTTGTGAAATACTTACACTAGTCATTTTTTTCACTGATACAAAATACACTACAAAAACATATAAAGCCATGTTTTCTCACAAGCAATGGACTTTCTAATCAAGTCCATTTTATAAATGGAACCTCACTAATCAAGACACAGATCCCAACTATTTCTAGTCAGTTGTACCCAATGCAATAGAAACAGGGATCGCATCAGTGTCAAGATGTCCAGCTCTTTATGGACAGAGTAGCTTGGGTCTGGGAACGGCATGGATGAATTGGAGCAGTGCTGTGGCTATACTCATAGGCCTTACCAGGGGGCCCCAGTGCTCTGACAACTATTGCTGCTGTCTTTATGTGTGATGCCCAAACTAGACTGGTGCCTTATTCTAGGCTTCATTTGAGCAGGGCCAGCTCAGCATCTGCACTCAGCTGTATGGACTTAGCCTCCCTGTCCAGCTGCCACCAATATACACAGGATATTTATTTGGAACCTGTGGCTTCAGAGTACCAAGTAGACTTTAAGAAAAGGCATTTTTTCATTTAGTAAAGGAAACTGGTAATGGGGATGTAAAGAGATAAGCTTTCATCTAGGATGAGTTAACAGTGCCTAGATGTCATCTTCAAGGGGGTTAATGGTACATATAAAGACTGTATGATAGTTTCAAACCAACTGGAAGTCAGAAAGTGTCTACATCACAAAAATTTCATTGCAACTGGCCTAAATAGATGGCTGAGAAGGTGCCAAGTCTTAAAGGAAAAAGATTCAGTGGCCGAAAGCCAGGCCAAGTTGACTCAGGAAAGCTTGCTCTGTAGCTGAGTGCAACTGCCCTGTTCAAAGGAGAAAGAAATTCCAGATTTGTTTCATCTTTCTATAAAATGTCATTCATTTTTAAATTGAACAGCAATGCCTAGATAGAAGAGGGTGATATAACTAAATACTAACAATGATTTTGTTGTATTTACTACTCTCTGAAACATTCGGTAGCAACTGAATCAAAACAGCCATCTCCAATGAAGAGGCAAAGCCTCATGCTGAGATCCTATGTCCTTTTTTAAATAGTACAGTATATAGTTATTCACACCTTCTGGTCGTAGTCATCAAGGCCATATTGTGCATTACAGTTGTGACTGTAGCGTGTGTTTTCACAGTCATATTCTATCTCTGGCTTCACTGGATTACGGCAAAGCGTGCACACCCATTCTCCCCTGCAAAACAAGAAACCAAAAACTTGTGTCAAACCTTGTCAAACAACAAACCTCAGGAACCACTGTATTTGGAAACAAGTCTCATCCTTAAGTAGTATTACAATAGCCAGCAATCTGAAACCATTCATCATACTAGATGTTCTTCAAGAGATTTAAATCTAATTAGAAGTGTAGTATTTTCAGATTCTACTCTGAAAAGTCACAGAGAAAAAGGCAAAATAGTAAGTGTTTGAAATCATGGACCAGCAGTGTGTACAGCTGCACTGATTCAAGCATTGTTTTTAAAATAAAAATATTAAGGAAAAATAGCCAACAGTTGGTTCATAAGACAAAAACAGATCCATTTGATAATTGATACATTTATTATAATTTATATAACTGACATATTTAAGAAATCAACATTATCAGAAACAGTCATAAAATGTGCTAGTACACAGGTTCCCAAAGAGATGTAATTCTTCATGTGCATAAGTGCCCTTCCTAGTAGATGCACTTTCAGAAACTTCTTTAAGAATTTCATGAAGGCAGTGATGCAACTTCTGCAACATCAGGGCTTGAATAGCCATCAATGAAGGTATATTAAAGAACTGTGAATACAGAACTTTAGTTAAAGGAATTAATTTACGTCATTAGAATTTAGAATTTTGCCAAGGAAGTTTATTTTTAAAGCAAAACTTGGTTTTCACATTGTTTTGAAACTAGAGGTTTAATGACTTAGCTGTTAGAGAAAAGAGTGAAAACCCCAGGAGATGGAAATTCCTGCTTTTTGAACAGAAAGAACAACCCCAAATCTCCAAACCAATATCTCACAACATATTTTCTCAGCTGAGGTGGTTATTTGGGCTCAGCACAAATGAAGTAGCCTCTGGTCCCACCCGGTAATGATTTGTAACAAAATTCAGAATTATACACCACCAGTAATGCACATTATCCCACCTCAGTTTAAAGTTTGGTATGTCGATATGTACCTAATTCTGGCTCTTTGTCCTGTATAATTCATCTATAACAAGTTGCTAGGGAATCTGTGTCTTAAGGAAATCAATATCCTAGATATTTCCACAAAAGCCCAAAAAATCCTAAATTTCCCATAAAACTAGCTAGAAAACTGAATAGGAACTCACTGATTACCCTTTCCTTGTGCTAGTCACTGTTCTGGCAGAGAAGAGTTGACATCTACACCACAGATGTTACATGGTGTTAGGATTTTATTTTTCTCCAGTAAGTGGTAAGAATGTTTTTAGAGCTCTGGTCTGCCCCCTCCTTTGCTGTACTGGCCAGATAACTGCAGAAAGGACATACATAGCAGGAAACAGCTCTTGCTAATAAATCATCAAATTCCTAGTGTGTAAGATAGTTCTTCCCTTTGCAAGAAAAGTAACAGAAAAGGCAAGTAATAGATGTGGTCTTGCCCTTGTTTAAGGTTGACACATACATCCCTGAGAATATATTCTGCCCCAAGGCAGTGAGCAGAAACGGAGCACATTAGCGAAATGTCATACACACTCACACTGGAAAGCTGAGCAGGGCTGGAACATGGCAGGAGAGATGGAAGACCTTGGGGCAGTGATCACAGCACAACAGTTCTCCTCCATTAAGACACACAGCACAGAAATCCTCGTTTTCTATTGGATTGACGTCCTGAGGAACTGGAGATTTTTTCACGATAGAGATGCCATTGCTGAGCTTCTGATCAACAGCAGGAGGATCTACAGGAGGAGAGTGTGTCTGTCCTGCAGCCTGGGACATGAGAAATTTTTTGTCCTCCGAGTTCTCCTCTTTGGCTTTCACTCCTTCAGTTGGTCTATCTTTATTTATCTTAAAGGAAGAAAAATTTGGGGTCACACAATCATCCTATAAGCATGTGACAGCAGTGGTTATCTGCAGACAAAATGGTTTCTTTGCAGTGGACTCTACTGAAGAGGGCACTGGGGTTCAGCAGTCCCACGCTCAGCTCGTCATCTGCCATGGGCTGGCCAGGTCACCTTGGTGAAGTCATTCCCACCACATACCACAATGCAAGAGCTGTACAGACTTCATATCACCGATGATAGAAACAAGATACTTTACAATATCATTTGCAAATTTTACATTAAAAACATTAAACAGATCAAAAAAAAGGGTAGTTTTTTTATTCCCATCAGAAATTCCCAGTTCCTTCTTTGGAAAGAAGCTCAAGACTCCAATGAAGCCACAGAAAATAAAGATTTGGAAAATCTATAACACTGTGATTTCTGGAATTGGTTCCTATCATTCAAATACGTATTCAGGTCAGTCTTAAGCTTTTTATCCTATATTTGTAACTAGACAGACAAGCCAGGCTGTTTGCTAGAACACAAAACCACTACAGCTATCCAATCCTAGACAGAGACTTCTCAGAAATTGAGGTATCAGGGAGCTACACAGCAAACTAAAAGCTGCTTTCTCTATTAGCTCCACCCATCACAGAAGTGTCCAAGGGCAAAACGAATCAACAGACCTGTTCAGTGTATAATAACTTTCAGAAACTCTGAGTACAAGTCAGTGGGATAAAGGGGAAAAAGCAGGTAAAGCATCAAGGAAATTCCACTCACCTTTATAGACATACTTGAAGACTGGGTCCCACATTCAATTATCAGGAGGAAGTTGCCCTCCTGCTCATTGTCCTGTGGCTGGAGCTTAAACACTGGGAGCTCCCCCACTTCTGATCTACATATTTTTAGACGTTCCAGTCGCACATAGGGGATCTTCTGCTCCTTAGGGACAGCTCTTCAACCAAAATAAGACATGGTTAAATTCAGTCATACTCCACAAAATTCTCATGCCTACTCAGTTTCAACATTTTTCATGCACCGTTGTTTGTGCTTCTTTTTCTTTGTAACTGTGACTCTAATGGCTAAATGTTGAAAATCTGATTTTTTTTTCTGATTCTTTAGGATTCTTTAAGATTCAGGCTGATTGTTTAAGAAATGTGAATGCAACCATTTTAAATTAATCATATGTGTAGGTGCATTACTAACTTCTGTGCTAAAACTTTGCCCTGCTCTGTATATTTTTAATTATTCCAATTTAAGTTGTGCTTGATACTTCTCAGTGTAGCTGGATTCAAGCAGGAACACAGCACATCATCAACTTTACTTTAAAATATTATCACAGCAGGAGCTGAAATCAAAATTTTATTAAATTTTTTGAGATGTTAATCCTATTCCCATTATATTTTATAGGTTTAATTGGGACTAAACAGTTTCTAATCCAGTGAGATAAATTTGCAAATTTTTATTCAGTCTGGAAAATTACCTAGAATAACAAAAATACATGAACTCACCACTTCTTTTAAATTGTTTTCCAGTTTAAGAGAATACTTTAAAACTTACAGAATTATTATCTATAAAAAATCTTGCATTCTTTTTAAGTTCTCCGTTACCATTAAGTATGAGAAATTTTCTAAATACATGCATAAAATTTCATGGCCAGTGCTTCTGTATATAAAAAAAGACTCTGTTACCTAACATTCTGATTGCTTTTCATATCCATTTCAAAATGTTCCTTTTCACAGTTATTGGAACCTGGAACAGAAGATAAGAAAATGAATAAAATATTTATAATATCAGAGTCAGATTAGGGTAGAAAGTACTTCAGTATTCATGTATTTCTGACTGGTGTTTAATATGATATCATAAGTGAATTATGGAATCATTTCATCTATATGTATAGAAAATGTGTATGCTATTTTCTATTCTGGGATACAGACTTTGTCTTTCTCTTTGCTTTCAACCACAGCTTCTGTCCTGAATATGAGGAGCCTTTCCAAAATATTTTGTCAAAATGGTTACATTCCCAGAGAATTATATTATGTACACAGCCATGCCATATTCATCTATATACAGGCAACAACATAAGTAATCCTCTTTGCTATACAGCCTTCACTTAAGAAAAACAGACCTACTGAGGTCTGAACCCCTGAGGCTCAGGAAGGCTGTGCAGTCTCCTGTTCTGCGCCAAGAACCTCCTGGACAATTCTAGTTACTAGAAAACAGAAAGGAAATCTGCCACTGAGGGATGAAAGCTACACTGTATGATTCCTTTCTCTCCTCCAACATATGTAACATATAAACATATGAATTCAAAACTATTGTCATATAAGCACGCAAGTAACTGTAGCTCTTGACTGATACTAGACAGAAAAGTAATAAAACAACTTTGGAGATGGGATGGGGTAGAGATGAATGCCCCAGTGGATGTCCTTGTAAATACCAGTCCACTGACAAATTTCATAGTAATTCCTCCTTTTGTTAGGAATTAGTCTGACATAAACAATACTAACAGCAAAGCAAACCATGTATCATGGCTATCTGGAGATAAGTGAGTGCCAGGAAAACATGCTTTTTTAAAGATAAATCTAGCTTGTGTCAACGGTACCTAACCCATTGCTTGAAAGCACTGTGCCTCTAAGATATCCCGTTGTTCCCAGCCACAGGAAACAATACAATCAAAACTGACAGGGAAAGGTGAATTTTACATCATTCCTAAAGTGTTATGGATTTGTGATTGTTTCTCAGGTGAAGGGTGGTAGTCCTGGGTCTGGACAGAATTACTAAAGGGTGACTGCACGCTCAGCTGAAGGAGCAGCTCTTGTGGCACACTGTCAAGCCAGAAGATGTTCCAGTAGTGCTGGCTTCCTAATATTAATCAGCATTTTCATCAGCAACTTGTCTCATGAAATAATAGTACCTATAAAACTAGAGGGGTTGCAAACACTGTGAGCAATGTTGACAATTAAAAAATGAACTTAATACATCAGAGAAAAAAAAATCTCCTAAATCAGTAAGACTGAATTGAGGTAACTAAGTATTATGCTTATGAAGGACCAGATGAATGTAATAACAAAGGAAAATAACTGACTAGGGAACTGTTCTGTAGAAGGAACTAAAGGTTAATGTGGACCATTCACTACATGCAAGTCAACCACATAATGCTGCTGCTGCTGCAAAGAGGCAAATGCCATCCCGCAGTGTATCCTCAGCGGTGAGGAATGTAAAACACAAGAAGTTGATACCCTGGCTCTGCATGGCACCCCAGAGGCCTCAGCCGCAGCTGTGGGCAGTGCTCCTTCACTGCGGAGCACCCAGAATAGTGCAGCCGGAGTGAAGTGGTTTTAAAAAGCACAACCCTGAGCCATGAGGAGAGACTGAAACCATCAGATTTGTTTAGTCTAGGAAAGAGAAGCGGAGGGGGTTTACGCAAGCCATGATAAGAAGAAAAGTGGCTGTAAGAGGGAAAATGATGAAATTATGTACAATTTTTACCACATCCCTTGAGGCTAGGATAAGAAGTATTTTGTTGTAAATTAAGCTGAAATGTTTAGATTTGATATTAGAAAAGGATGAGTCATTGGAGATACATACCAAAAGCAGTGCAGTTTGGCAGCACATCACTGCTGAATCCATCAAGTCCTACTGAGAGCCTCTAGCAAAGATTATGTTGCCTTTGCAAACAGTTAATCTCTGTCACTGGTGCACATAGTGACAGCATCTCCTCAGATGTCCCCTCACTGCACACCTTTAAACAGTGAGAGCAGGATGGGAGTTGCTCCCTCCTGATCCTTCCTTGTGAAAAGAACTGAATTCAATGCTCCATCCTCTTGCACAACAGGACCTGCCCTTTGCACAGAGTAAATCTGTAACATCTGTTATAGATAGTGAGAGTCTATATGTTGGGGATGCTTTCTATGTGTGGTGTCACATGACCCAAACCAGATACTAAAAGCTGCTCCTCTCAGAGACGCTTAAGCCTGACTGAGGCACAGCTTTTTAGGGGTGCGCCTGACTCTTACAACTCACAGAAATGATTGTGGCATAATTGTCACAATTTGGCATAGTGTGCATAAGAGAAGACAAATGCATCTCTCCTTGGCTCACTGAGCTAGGCCTCTTTTGTACTAATTAGAATTCTCTGAATAAAAATACAGCACAGAGATAGAAATATTAATTCATCTTTTACAGAGAAAAGCAGCCAAATACTGGCATAAGTCACAGGATAACAGCTTGATCCTGCAATCCCTTGCTTGCATGAATAGTCCCATTGACTTTTAGTGTTTGCAGGAATGAGGCTTTGCACTGTAGCACAAGGATGCTGGCAATTTGCCTATGAAACAAGTTAAATAAGGTCTAATTCTCCATCAAGGCTGAAGAAATAGGCCTTGGCTGAAGGGAATGTTCCACAGTAGACAGAGCCAAGCAAATGCACATACTGTGCAATATATTAACCCAACAAAAATTTGTTATGCTACTGATGTGAAGGACTTAACAGAAGGCACATTACATTTCGGAAGTAGGGAGGGTTTTAATTAATTTGGACTCTTCAAACCAGCTCTTCAATAGTCATAACGGCAGGTCTCATTAACGAGAGTGCTTCTAAGAGAACTAATACTCCAGGTACTTCACACAGACGCGCTCATTTCTGGTTCATAGATGAAGGATGTTAAAAATTCAAGGCATAACATTTCCATGTTTTTCCTCCACAAATGAGATCAAACATGCTTTTCCATTGGATTAAGTACTCTGATAATATTTGAGGCTTGCTGCAAACACACATTTCTATGTAAGTACATTAATAAGCATACTGCTTTGCAATGCTTGCAACGCACAGTCCTAAGAAAGACAGACCAAAACCCTAAATTAAATAACAAAAAGCCTGGTACCTTCTTTGCTTCTAAGTTGTGTCATTCTGGCATTCATGGGCAGGAAAGAAGTGTTGCTGAGCAGTTCAGAAGTGCAATGCTGAGATTTTTTGATCGAAAGATTAATAGGTTCTTCTAGCACTTTTTGCATAGAAAGAGTTAATTCATTAACTACATCTTGTCCAGCAGTAGCCAAGCTGTTTTCTAGAGGATGATCTACAGTATTGAAGTCTTCATTTTCCAGCTTCAAAGAAAAAAAAAAATCAAATTTTATTAGTAGTTTTCTTTCTTTCCATCTTAAGAAAATCATTTGTAATCAATCTTCACACACCAGATAAGGAAAGCTTTACTTACTGAAATAGCTGCCTTCCACGGACTAACAATAACATATGCTGTCAATGAAAGTGAATTCCCTTTCACTAGAAGAGTTTGTGCAATTCCTACCTTGCAGTTAGTGCTGCCCTGGAGGGCATCTCCTGGTGTGAGGCCAGCGGCAGCCCCAGGACTCGGGTCACTTGGTGCTCTGCCCAACGCCAAGCTGTAGCTGGGCACCAACTCTGGCGGAGCATCACAGTCACAAAGGGACTTCGGGGATGGGACAAGTGTTACAGCGGCTGCACCTTGAGTCTGTGGCTCAGCCAAGCTAGATAGCCTTGTTGAAGGTAACTCCATTTCTAGACTGTTTGAAAAGCCCACAATGCTTAAGGATGCTGAACGCTGGGAAAAGAAAATTAAAACCAACAATATGTTAATAAGTTTTTCAGCAGGAAAATGCTACTGTTCTTTCTATAATGGATGAGACACTGTTTCAGCTATACATAATCAACCAGTTGTGCCATGAGGGCTTGGAAGTATCTGTTGTAATCTTACACTGGGAAAGGAGACACTTAGGTTACTCTTCTGTGATTTACAAGACGTGTCTTCCTTCAACCAGTCCAAGGGATCCTGATTTTTAACTCCCTACAATGAATGGAAAAATCTAAGCATGTAGAATATTGTACTAAATCAATACTTGATATAAACCCTATAAGCTTCCATTAAGTTATTCCAGACAAAATAAGATTCAGATAAATTTTATCATTTTATTCAAAAATCATCAGATGACTATTCAGAGAGAAGATTCAGAAGAAATAAGATTCAGATCTGACACAAGTGGATGAAACTAGTGTTACTGTTAATGATGCTGAAAACTTTATGCTAGTTAGTGAGTCTGGCTCATTAAAACCTAAGGCACCCGCCTTACTATAATATTATAGTGTAAATCCAGAAACATCCTACATGTACTGAGGAAAGTATGTACATGTCTTGTTTCCAAAGGAGAGGAATATTTACCAAAGTCTCTGAATACTTTTAGCAACATGCATTTTCTACTGTCACATGATTTGTTACTGCCAAAACCACAGAAATACTGTCATCCAAAATAAAGCAAATCCACCCGTCTAGGTGACTTCCTTAAGCTGCCTTACATCTAGGAATTTGTACTGAAATTAGGGCTCTTCCAGCATCCATATGAAGCAAATATAAGCAGTCATAAGCAGCCTGCAGATCAGTGTCATTTGAATATGTAATTTTCTATTATATTTCATTGTAGTTCATTGCTGTTTCACCCTTGATAACTGACTGAATAAATCCTTTTCATTTGGCTACAATACAGTAAGTAGCACTCAGTGTAATATAAATCAAGACAAAAGAAATGTGTTGATTGCATCTGAATTAGAGTTTAATTTCATTGTTGTACTTAATTTTCTGCTAGGGGCCTGTGAATTAGAAATGAATCTGAGACAGGACCCATTTTCTAAAGTTAATTAGTATTTTTCTCAACTGTTACTCCATTTTGGATTTTGATACCTTTGTCTATCTTATTCCAACAGTTATAAAGACAGTAGACTAGATTGAGTTGTCAGCTGTGCCTGTGTAAATCCTACATAATATCAAAGTCAGTCTTTAATTCCTCTGCTCGCAATGCATATCACCTGTGCGCTAAGAGAACACTCTGCCCACAGACTAATCTCCACCTAAGGATGTGTTTTAACTTCCTCTTCCTCAGTTTGCAATAAACACTACAGTAGGAGCTTTGCCTGAGCAGTGACCACTCATTCAATGACAGAAAATAGGCTGCATTTGAGACAGAAAGAGATCAGTTCTTCTGCAGTGCTAGGGAAGTTTTGTACCATTCTACCACACAGTGCTCTAGTAAGACTTTTTAAACAATACTTTCACGTAGAAGGCACCCCAGAGACCCTGGTCTCTGCAGCCAGGGTACTGGCCATTTTCCTCCTCTTGAGGCAGAGTGTCCCTGAATGGAAGCAGTCTAAGCTGTAATAACTTCTTGGAACCAGCTGGAACTAGTCAAGCACCTTCTCCCTACCTTACATTTGAGCTGAAAACTAGAACACAGCAAACGAGGAAGTGCATTGGTGGAGGCACACTTTTCCATATACTCTGATAGAGCAGTTCTAAGAACGCTCAGGTTTCAACGGAATATATGTAGGTCAGAAAGGAATTCAGCTTTCATTGTCACACATCCTAAAGAAGTCCCCAAAGATGAAAAATGTTCATCTGCTGTCATAATTTTCTTGTGACAGGCTCCTGCACATGCAGTGACAATTGTGGCCTATCAAGTAAACATTTTCTTTTTCATTCTGTCACTCTTTTTATCACAAACCTTTTTCAGAAGACAAAATAAACATGTGAATTGTTCTCATACCACTTACAGAAAATAACACAAAGAAGCAGAATTAGTGCTTGAACTGAGCAGATGGACTGTAATCAGCCTTGCCTTTTCCCCTTATTTCAAAGTCCACTGTGAGCATTAATTAAGTCCCTGTGAGGTAGTTAAATAATTAGTTAGATTCTCAAAAGCACGAAGCATTCACAAATTCCCATCCAAGTCAATAGGAACTACCTAATGTTGTGCTCCACTAGAACTGGGCATGCTGAGGCACACACGTGACAGGCACACCACCCAAAGCTGCACAGCAACTTAACTGGAGACCTTGTGGCTATTCACTTCTAATCGCCACACACATCTTCCCTTACTTGTGTTCCAAGAGCGTGCCATCGTCTATTACGTATTGAGACCTGACCTGCGGCAGACCTGTCTGTGCGTAACTGTATACACTGCAGGTGAAATGTTAGCCCTACTAAGGCAATGGTAGGATTACTCCTGGCTTCAGTGAAACAACTTTACTTACTGGGAGGAATTGCTGGGACGATTCCTAATGCAGGAGAAAAAAAAAAAAAAAAAAAAAAGCATAGGACTTTGTTATAACTAAAATTTTTAGAAAGGTGAAATTCAATTGCATTGCATGACTATATCTTTTTTTTACTCTTCTAGCTAGCATAAGTTTCTTCAGAGATCTTTTTTAGATTATATAAGCCAATATAAAACCTTACTCTTGTTAAAAAGAAAAAAAGAATAATGAGGCCATCAAACTGCCATCAGTCTTTCCCTTGGGGCAAAAGTTAATTTTGTGGTTATTTTAATGATGAAGCAACATTATGATCTTTCAGTGCAAAATATTAAAACTCACAGTTAAGAACAGACACATTCCATTCTGATCCATTGGAGCTGCTGTCAAGTGTGAAGTGAACAATGCACTGGGAACAAGGCTCATTAATAGCCTATTAATTCACTCCCTAAAATAATCATTTCTTTTGCCATTAGCAAAAATTTCTCTTATCCCTTGACAGTTCTGCTAGTTTTTGCAAATGGGATGCCTTTAAAGAATTGATTTCTGTTTTATATAAGCTCTATTGCTTTTACATTGCACCCTTTGAACAACAACAAGCATTAATTATGCTCCTGGGTAGAGGGTGGCTTCAGCTGTAGGTTAATTTTGAAACTTTTGACATTTTAATGTACAGCCTTGCATATCAAACTACATCTGTGTCATTATAATTGGAATTCTCATTGTCTCATAATTAATTGTGGTCTGATAGTCCTTATAATATAATGGCAGCAGCATCACCACCCCAAAATGCCTTTTACCACAAATTTCATAGCTATGGTAGTGAAAGGTAAGAAGAAAGAACATGCAAAGTGCCTTCAGAGAACAAAAAATAAACATATTGTTTAGTTCAAATATTTCTTTGATCACTGTTGCATTTAAAAAGGTCCAGTGTAAACATGCAGCACTAATACAGAAGAATTCTGAGAAGCAAATACTTACCTTGAAACACTGGGATTAGGATTTGTTAGGATTGTTTTGGCAAAGTCTCAAGGCTGTTGACATTAAGTGTCACAGATAAAGAAAGCTAAAACTAGGAACTGCCAATTCTCTTTGCTATAAGAGAAATAACACGCTGCAAATGGTTGCAGAGTAATGAACGGCTGCTATTAAGTGGAGCAATCCCCCTGGCAGCTCATTATGCTAGGAGGTTAAACAAATGTACTACTCCAATCCAGTTGTTTAACTCACCGCACACAGCAGCCCCGATAACACTGTCTACACATGCTTCCTATTCGTATTTCTCAATTTCAGAATAGAATCCAAAGGATTTCTTTTCTGTATTCACAAGAAAAAGAATCCAAATCTTCCTTAACATTTTGTCTGAATAAACTGGAGCTGGCTTAAAGCGGAAGGAGGAAGAGATTGTATGGAGCAAGCAGCATCATGTTTTATTTATCCTTTTTTTTCCAGGTCAAAGGAAAAGGTTTTGTTAAATTAACATTCTGAGAAATGCACTTAATTGCATGAAGCATGAACACATTTGTGCTGTAAGCAGCTCAAGTCTTTAAAGTCAAAAAATAATCTGATACTTTAGGAATTTGTAGGACTCTAAATTCCAGGCTGTTGTTATTTCCTTCACCTTTAATCCCCTTAAAATTAACAGCAATTAGAAAAAAAATCAGCAACAACAAACCCACCCCGGTGCCAAGCTCAGATTCAAAGTCCTAGGGTTGGGTGTTAAATTATTATTACTTTCAGTCACTAAATAATCACGACATGCTCAGTACAATACTAACAAAAATAAAACTTGTGCTGTGCCCCTCAACTCCTCTCCCACAAATTTCACTTGCTTTTAGAGGAAAAAAAACCCAAACAAACCATTAGTTAAGCACTTACCATTGAGATGGAAGAGATGTCATTAATAAAGTTTAGGACAAATGTGTTGGGGCAAAATACCCAAGAATGCTACCTACAACAGCCTGAGATCACCTGTTCTCTCTGATAATCCTGTAACAGCAGCATCGGCATGTCAGAGCCTAGAAGTTCACAAGCATCAGGCCCCAGGAGAGGCTGAGAGGTTCCACCATGAACTGTCACTATGTTAGTCTTGCATGAAATGCCACTATTGCATATAACTGGAATAAAAGAGAAGCCTCTCTCAGAGTGCTCCTTGGATGGCATGGAATATTTTCTAGGATATCCATGTTTCGGGTACTTTATGGGGCTTGAGACAAACAGAGTTATTGAACTAAGAAGCTGGGACTTACTATGAATAAAAAAAAAAAATTTAAAAAATCAGAATTATAGCACTCTGTTTGCACCTTGATTATTATTTCTGGTCACCCTGTCTCAAAAAGTATTTATCAAAACCAAAATGGAAAATGGCCAAAGATGTAAAGGACTAAAGCATAGAACGGCTTCCATGAAAAAAAACAAAACAAAACAAACCACTAGAGACACCAGCAATCCCTTTACAGCTTCAAAAAGAAATGTTTGAGAGGAAATTCAATATAGACCCGTAAAATATAGCTATTATGAAGGTGGTGAAGGTGAAAAGATGATGAAATATTAGCTCAATGGGAGAAACCCTCAAAGGTTGCTAAGGAACATAATCAAACCTGAGTTTGACAAACACTGTCCAATCTACTCACAACTGATCGGTGTTCCAGAAGGCAGAAGCACAAGTGCCCAAGCCAGTTAGGTTTTTAGGATGAGTGGGGATGGTACAGAATGCTCACTGCCCTGGACACAACAGCTGGAGAAGGCAAGAAATCCTCCCTCTCAGAAGTAAAGCCCCTGCTCCTAACTAGAGAAAGAGGTGCACTTATGGAGTCTGAGGAGGAGAGATGTTCAGCTGGCCCTGCAACACCACCAATATCTGTTGCATCAGCACCTGAGACTCAAACTACAAATCTGTGTTACAGTTCTACAGTAATTATGAAATTTCTTCAAATGCTAGGCACAACCTTTAGACCTCTTGCTCATCACAGCCACAAATGACAGATACATGTAAGCAAAACAGGGATTGTATGTCCTTTATTAATCCTGAAAACACAATTAGGCCAAAAATACCTTGTTATTCTCACCTCTGCTCCAGAATAGATGACCCCTCTGGTCCTGTGTGCAAATTAATAACTTAGCATCATACTATGTAAAACAACAGGAGAACCATATCATTGCAGAAGGCTGATAACCCTTTCCACAGAATTGATAGTCTAATTGAGTACTCATTCCTTCACACTGCAACTTAGCAATTCAGTAGCTTGTATAGCTGTTTGCTGGAGCTAGGCACAAGTCCCCAGAACAAAAGTGCAGGTATCACAAAAGTTATTCTGAGATCCATCCTCAGTCTTGCTGACATTCCTACTGGAGAGGTTGGGTATTTGACAGGCATGGAGACAGAACAACTCCACAATCCAAAACAGAGGTCCTGGTTATGTGAGTGAAGTATACTGACAGGGGAGCGTGGAGAGAAAATTATATCCATTTTGCACACAGACAGAAAACTTCCATTTCTAGTGTAGCATTCTTAAAAGGTGCTAATCAAGCCGAAATTATGCTAAGTGCAGTCCTTGACTTATATCAAACAATCAATCTTCTAAGTATAGAAACATGTGTTCTGCACAAAAAATACAATTCACAGAGAAAGAATAGTTAGAGCAATACACAGGAAGACAGAAAGGCTGAAAAAATATCACCATTCTAAAAAACAGTGAAACAAATAATAACAAGCCCCCACATAACTGAAGTGACATGTTTCAACACTATACTATATACATGCATACAGAGCACGTGGGCACAGACAGGAATTATTCTGAACTTTAAGACATCAGTAGCCTTGATGCCAATGTTTCTGGTCAACACCAGCTAGAAAACCCTACTTCATACAACTGGAAAGCCAAAATTCTCTCTGCTTAGTGAAGCATTTAATTTTTAATTTAATTAAGATTTAATTTTTGTGCTGATAAATGGTGAAATGTAACACAAGAGGACATTTTAGAAGTGCTTGAAGTGTTTCATCCTTGCTTCTCTACTTCTGCTTATCAATAACCAGCTTTAAACGTGAAGGACGGAAACTAGTGCTCATCAAAGTAACTTGAACAGGCATTCTTTGAACTCGCAGGCACTCACATGGCATATGAGTGCCTCATACCGTGGTGTAACGGCTACACTAGCACTTGTCTGGGATGATCTGAATAACGTTCTTGTGGTTTCCCTGTTTATGAGTAATGTTGTGATCCCAAACTATTAATAGCATCTGCTCTATATTGCTTCACACATCAATATGATCCCATATCTCATCTAGTTATCAATCAACAGTATCAAACGCATACTGTAAACATGTTTCAGAATTAATGCACAGATGTTTAATTGCAGGGGCAACCAAGCCTTGCCCCCTCCAAAATAAGGGAAACCACTGGGCTAATGGAAGCTTTTCTTTTATGACGGATCTTGGCAAACATATCATTAAACAGTTAATTCTGAACTTTGCTTCATTCTGGTTCACATGCAGGTTTCTCTTTAATGAAAGAATCTTAGAAGCCAGAGAATTACCTACTCCACCGGCAATTCTGGGCACAACAAAGGCTGTCAGAGTTCAGCAGAACTGCAGCACAAGACCAAGAAGTCCAATACCAGTTATTGTCCAAAAGGCAGAATACAGTTCTTCTCCAAGTAGCAAAAGGTTTCTCTAGCCATTTCTCTACCATGTTTTCCAAGTGCAATATTTTGGACTTCTCCACATTCACTTCTTCCATGTCCTTCAAAAACTTGAGAGAGATTAAATGTTCTGAATACAGGCCATGTGAAAATAAATGGACAAACACCTATACGGAAATTTTTATCTAGAGATGAGCGTGAAAATATTTAATCAGGTGAAACAGAGATGAGAAAGAGACACCCCTTTGCTCTTAAATAGGAACTGATCTCCTATTTAAACCTAGATTTAATATAACTGTCAGAAAAAGCAGGCAGATGTCTTTAAACAGCATTCAAGAAGAATATATTTCAAGGGTTCCCCTTTATCATTTCCAGTTAGCCATTGACAGTGCTGTCAGTACATTATGGTTTCATTGTGAACATCTCATTACAAGAGATAAATACAAGAAAAGTTGGGGTACTGTGTCTGTTGAATGTTGAATGTCCTCATTTCTTGCAGAGGTGCCAGTAAACTAGTAAAAACCAGACAAACCTGTGTGTTCTGCAAAAGAGCATATATTTCTCAGCACCATTAAAAATTTTCCTTTTTTTAATTTTAGAAGTATCCTCTTCTTGTTGCCTCCTCAACTTGTACAGAAATGAATTGGTCTATCTTCCTTTTTTCCACCTCCTTTTCCCATCAGACTACACTAGTCTTTCTCTTGCACATCTGCTTCCATTTTCTCCCCTCTTTCTGACTTGTCTTAAGCTGTTGGGAAGTAACCTTCCTTTACAGGTCCAGAAGACAAATGAGAGCTTCTTCAACGTACATGTAGAAAAAGCCTCTGAAAGCTAGTTGGTTAGCATCACCATTAATTTTAACAAATAAAATACATGTTTATGGTATTTTCACAAAGTATGTGCTCAGGTTCATGGTCTTGCTCAGGCCTTAAATATATATCTTCAATTTTTACAGTCATACCCTAAAGTAAAGATATCCCTATCCTACAAAATTTCCATAGCTTTCCCCAGTCTTGTGCTCCATCATCAGAAGTTAAAGGAAAGAGCATCATCTCAGAATGCTGTGATACCATCGGCCTGATCCAGAAATTCCATCATATCTACAGGATTAAGTTAACAATGGCAGATTTATTTGTGGCTTCCAAATCTGATTTTCATGCTGCTTCCAGACCCTCAGTAATCATTACCTTTCCATGTCTTCACAATTAACAAAATGATCTCCAACAACTCTCTGAATGGGTATTGCATCATATATATGTTGGGTCAACAAAGCTACATGCTAAAGAAGGAGAAAATAACTTCCTTTTGGGGGCTAGTAAGGAAAGACAAGTTCTTCCACAACATTCCACACCCAAATTCCAAGAAAAAATATCCATGAAAGACTTCTATATGGTATACAACATGAGTTGTGAACAGAAGTAACAAACAGATTTGAGCAACCAGAATATGAAGTGCTATTTGGAGTGTTTTAAACAAACAGTACAGAGAAGTAAGAGGCAGCTTCTCTGACTCCAGGGCATAGGTGATATCCAGAGTCAGCCAGGAACTACCGATAAAGCTGAGCACTCCTGGGTTTATATTGCTTCTTCAATATTTAGGGCTTTCTGGTAGATGGAAGGATCAAAGCATGGCTCTATTATGTGCTTAAATATTCTAGAGATAGATAAATCTATGAGTTTTCTTACACATGAACAAGGAGGAGGAGTATAACAGAACCTTTCAGACCACCACATCTCCACAAGATTAAAAAAAATGTTAGCAAGACATTTTGGCTTACACAGTAATAATTAGTTGTAATTTCCAGGTCAACTATTTTGGAAGATTTCTCAGGCCTGATTTAATCAGAATTATTTTTTTCTTTAAGTTTACTGCTGCTAACATGTCAGTTAGCAAGTGCTGATAGTTAAATCCTTAGAGATAGGGACTGGACAGAATTCACTCAGTGAAGAAATAGGTCTTCTATTTATTTGCCAGTTCATGTTTAACAATCACGCCAGCCAGATCTAAACACTAGAAGAGCTTACAGAAGAGCTGCTGATCCTGGCTGTAGCACAGTGTGCAGGCATCTCACCGGGACATGCACACTAGGGTAGGCTATGACTGTCTTCCAAGGTTTACAAGCCATTTTGTCAACTTTTACTGTATTTTATTTTTTTCAACCTAATTGCAAATTCCAATGACATACTATATTCAATATTATCAACTAATTTTTTCCCTTTAAATTTATTTTTTTTTTAAGTTCTTGATACCTTTCTCACTGGATGGATAGGTGTTTGTTGCAATGTGTTCTCAGGGGAGCGACTGCTGACACTGGCTTCTTCATCTAGTGACTGTGACAGGGAGGGACTATCACTTTTGTCAAGAGGAATTACAGTCTTCTGGGCATCAAGTTCAGTAGAACTCTCACAGACCTACAAATCACAATTAAGAATTTGTGTTTTCAAAATCACAGAAAGAGAAATGGCAATAAATTCACATCAACTCACAGCATACACAATATGACAAGACTGAAAAGGCTCCAAAACAACAAAGATGTTCGAAGTAACCCTAAGTGAAGTGATAAATGAATAGAGAAGCATTTCTCTCAAACATTAATAAATTAAAAATTTTTTTAAAAAGTCAATAAAGCTGCTGAAGTGTACAGCTATTCCAAAAGCCTCCAGTATGCCCCTACAGGTAAGCCACTTTGAGAGTTATTCAAGGTGGGAGCTCCACAGAATTTACACAATGGAAAGTCCCAACCACCTTTCTGTTGCAATCCCCACTGCTCTGAATGAGTTTTAAAGCCACCTTATTGTACACCTTACCAACCTTATAGTTTGGATGTTCACTGCACAGCACTGACCCTTTTTCTAAAGCAAGATTCTTACCAACAGAGGAAAAGGGGAGAAATTAGCCCTGCTGACAAAACTGTAACAACAGAACAGTGTGTATGAATACTGATGAAAATCTTATAGGACATGATGCAGTAGCAAAAGCAGTTACTAGTAGAATGGGAAATAACTCTTAGACCAAAGAAAAGGTGTTCTTCACTCTCTTTTCACTAATGATTCAGAATCAAAAGCAAATCTTTTTCAAGAACTCAGGACTTAAAATTTCCCGTAAAAATGAGTTGAAATGGAGAGTGAGACTACTGCAGTCCTATGGTTACCTATTCACAAATGAAGAATGGTGATGCTTTTATTTTCCCACCTAGTGCTCACCTTGTCTAATTAGAGATTTAGATCTTTGGGACTCAAGTTGTTTACGCAGCACTTCACAGAAAATTTTGGCCCAGTCCGCATGAGGCATGAAGCCTCTGCTGAACCACAAACATAGACAACAACAGAAAGTTCAATCAAATACATGAAATGTCAAAGTTGTCTCCCATTTCTGAGCTTAGACTGACTAAACACAATATGAAAGAAATTTTAGAGAACTTACTTGTGCTTCATCTTGGATTTGTTGCTGAACTGGGGCTGGCTGCCTCACTATGTAGTTGATTTGACCAACTATGGTCTGTTGAACATGCTGAGGTGGCTTGGCTTGGTTCAGCTGCAAGCTGGACTGTCCTTGGGCCTGCAGAAGAAGCTCCAGATCCTTTTTCATCTCCTCCAATTCAAACTGGTGGTGCATTATGTCCAGGCTCTGCTGGATGACTTGTTTGTGGGTGTTCTCATTCTGACCTGATGGTGGCGATGCTGGTGGCAGCTGCTGCTGCTGTGGTGGCTGCTGCAAGGGGTTAGATTTCATCTTCTGGAGATGGCCAAGTTGCACTTGCACAGTTGATGTCTGCAAAGTAGTCTGTGTGCGGAATGGCTGTGGATGGCTCGTATGAACTTGCTGAGCCTCATGCGATACAACAGCATAGCCCAGGGGTGCAGCCTGCTGCAGCTGCTGGGATGGTAAGGGCTTTCTCATCCTCCCAGACACGTTCTCTGGCTCTGAGCATGGCTGTTCCAGTCCAGACTGCATTAGCTTCAGAGGCTGGGAGGCACCCCTTTGCTCTTTGTCATGTTGTTGTATGCTGTACTGAAGAGGAAAGGGCTGCTCATGCAGTTCGGGAGGTTGCCGAAAATTCTGATAGCGGTTTATGTCTTGGTAAGGAGTCTGAGCTTTGTTTGGGTGAGGTATGCTGAGGCAGTGCGAGCAACACACAGGTGTAGGACACTGAACTGCAGGAGGAAACTGAGGTGACTGACTCTTCGCAGGCTCCAGTTGTGCTGCTGGTGAACGGTGCCCGTGATACAAGGAGGTCTGTAATCCTGGCACGTTTCCACAGAGTAGCATATCTGAGTGAGAAATGTGTCCACCTTCCAGCGTGAAAGCTCCTGGAAAAAACAGAAAAATTACTCCCTCCTATGATCTTGACAAATTTACACAATAAAAACTGTGAACAATGGCCATTTCCTTGTCTTCATTTCAAATATAAAAGATATTCAAATATCCTATCCAAACAGTCCTTCAACATACCTTCAAGACAAATTTTTCAAGATTTTTCTGTGATTTAAATTCACACCAAACTCCCACTGATGTCAACAGAACTCATGGTTGAATTACCAGCAAATGCTTTGAAAAATTGACCTCAACTTATTTTTCTTTTAACTGATGGATAGGGCTTATACTTTCATTTTTCACTAAAGTATGTGCGTATCTTCTCATCCATAAGCACAGGTACAAAAGAATGCTTCCAGGGTGAAAGTGACAAAAATAACAGATTGATGTTATGTAAGTGAGAATTGTAAAAGCTAGAAATAGAAGTGTCCTATGAACTGACCTTGTCCATACTTTTAGTCAAGAGAAGATTATTCCCTGTAATACTTTTGATAGTGTTTTGCCCCATCTAGTTTTAAATAACTTAAAATGGGAAGAGAACCAATCTTTTAGATCATTGATCAGCCCACCAGACTGAATTTACTGTAAAAACCCAACGCAGTTGGGAAGTTTATAGCTGGTGGGAAACAAAGTCACAGTATGCACATTCATTATACAAATAACACTGTAATTTTTATACAGCCAGTGTCTTAAAGCCATCGTTGTGCCCATTAATTGTTAGTGTCTCAAGCATTGCTCAGGTCCCTTGGCCCCTGAGATACTAAAGGATGTGAGGGGCTGGGCATGACTGAGCTCAGCTCCCCCTGGGGAAGGCAGAGGAGATAGCACAAGGCCCACTGCAGATACTCCGTTCCACCCAGGGTACTCCTTACAGGACTGCCAGTCACAGTGCAGTACAGAGCTATTGCTTGCTCACACGGAACTGAATTTCAAATCCATTGGGCAAAGTCAAGGCTGTTTGATAGCCAATGACGCTTCACTTAAAGTCATTTCAATTAAAAGTTACTTGTTTAGCCCTGCACAGTGTTTCCACTAAACTAGCAGCTGTGTTCTTACACTGTGATTTTGTAAAACCATCAAAGATGATTATATATTTCTAGGTAATGTTTATAAGATAATAATTTTATATAACAATGTCTTTTAATAGGTGAATTAGTATAAGTGGAGGGAAAAAAAGGAAAGTTCAGCCACACTAGCTTTTCTTCAGAATGTGACAAAAGATACAAAACTGGAAGTCAAAATTTTTTTAAAAAGAAAAAAAAGAGAGAGCGCACTTTAGGGAAAGTACTGTATTGTCTCTACGTGTCTTGTTTAACTTTTGGCACTTGCCTAATAAACAACAATATATTTTTCTTACCCAAATTGGCCAGCTGTTTAGTCCAGTAGGAGGGATCCCAAGTAAATCTGATCTTCAGTGGAGGGCCTGTGTCTGTGTCACAGTTTGTCTCCAACAAGCGCTGGATCTGAAATACTATCTGGTAACAAATCAGAGGATGATGATTTTATTCACAATTATAAGACTGTGAAAAAAACTTTATTTGAGAAACATTAAATCCTTGAAACAGTTCTCATATTTAGTGCACAATTTCAATTTACTGAGAAAATAAGTATTGTTCTTACCAGTTCTTTACTGAAGAGAAATGGTATGCTGTTTTTACTGCACACTGCCCAGCTGATGAAGTTCTGCACATGTTCTACCTGTCTGCTTAAAACCACAACACCTTGCAGCTGTTGCTCCAATTTCTGCTTCCTTTCACTGGTGATTTTCTGTTAATAATGTGAATCAGTAGAAGATATTTTTATTGTGTCATTCTTCAGACACACATAATGCATACAATCATTGGCACTACATTATGCATTACTTGCAGGGACACATTTAGAATTTCTTTAAACCATCAATCATAAAAAGAAAGCAAATCTTATTCAACAGATATGTCTGAATTCAGGGAAAACAATTACTTCTCCAGGAGCAAATAATCTACATTGTCCTGGCCTTGGTTTAACAGAATCACATAGCCCAGGAAAGCTGTAGAAGTTGGATCAAATTTGCTCCTGGACTGCATTCTTGTCTCTTAAAATACACAACGGAAGAGACCCAAGAAGGAATATAAAAAGAGGGGAATCATGCAGCATGTTCTCAGAGTGGTCTTCCAGTCTCCAGCAATTCATGATTTAGGGATCACAAAGACAGAGGCTACATTATGACCCTCAGCATATTTTTCTATGAATTTGTCTAATTACTTTTGGACCCACGCATAATATCTTGCAGCAAGCAGCTCCACACATTTACCATTTATGTAAAGAACTATCTGCCCTTGTTTGATTTGAACCCAGCACCTCCCAGTTGCGTTTGATGCCCCCTACATGGACTTCAACACAGCACTGTGCATATTATTTTAAGTGTACGCAAAATCTGGCTGCGGTTATAGATAACTCAGGCAAACACTGAGATGTTCTCAGATCACATGAACACCGAATTTACTTAATCTTTAGTAATACTGAAATGAGAACATATGTTTCTCTTTTTTGTAAAGCTACTTAGCCGAGTTGCCATATTTGAGTCAAATACGTAAGTTCAAATGTAGTCAGCAAGTGCTGACTGCCTTGTCTTTCCAATATCTGCTAAAATTACCCAAGAATAACTGAGAACTGGAAATACTGATCAGATCTGATAGCAATTTTTGTGCTCAGCACATTTCAAAATAAAATCATATCTACTTCAGCTGGACATCCAAAACCTGAAGAGTCAAAACTGCAGGCTCTGTTACAGAAAGTAGATCAGAGGATCATTTTCAAAACAGGATATTAAATGTGCTGCTAATGGTCTTTTGTGAATTAAACATTAAAACCAGATGCTAGTTTGTTTTGTAAGTACTCAAAAGGTGCAAACATATTCTCTGTAACTGCATCAGAAAGTGTGGTTAAGTCATGATAAGCAAACATTTTGCCACTTCAACCGAAATCTTTCTTAACTATTGATTCCACATAAAATTCCACAGGAAAAAAACCCAAATATTTGAAAATATAAGTAAAGGAACAATAACTGTAACAGTCTATATTCTTTCCATTGGCACTGGGATTAAATTTAATTTAGTTTAATTTCCCAAGGTATGAAAGAAACTAGCCTTACTTACTTCAAGTTGTTCAAGAAGGATGTTTGTTCGTTTATTGATTTCATTCATCAGCACCATCTTGGCCATATTTATTTGATTTTCTACCTTTTTGTATAAATGCTTTACTTCAAGCAACCTATGGGCAAGAGATACACATCCCTGGATGAGCCAACTGCTATGTCATTTATTCAGAGTTTAGTAATTTGTTACAAGAACTGTCCTATTGACAGAGAACTCCAGTGAACATTGTACCATTTCCCATATATTCCCCCACACTTCTCTCCAAGCATAGAATCATAGGCTGGTTTGGGTTGGAAAGGACCTTTAAAGGTCATCTAGTCCAACCCCCGTGCCATAGGCTGGGACACCTTCCACTAGATCAGGTTGTTCAGAACCCTGTCCAGCCTGACCTTGAATGTTTCCAGGAGGGTGGCATCTACAACCTCTCTGGGCAACGTGTTCCAGTCTCACTAGCCTCATTGTAAAATGTTTCTTCATTACATCTAGTCTAAATCTACCCTCTTTTAGTTTAAAACCATTATCCCTTGTTCTGTCACAACAGACCCTACTAAAATCTCTGTCCCCATCTTTCTTATAAGCCCCTTTTAAGTATTGGAAGGCTGCTGTAAGGTCTCCCTGGAGCCTTCTCCAGGTTGAACAACCCCAACTCTCTCAGCCTGTCCTCACAGGGAAGGTGCTCCAGCCCCCTGATCACCTTCGTGGCCTTCTCTGAACCAGTCCCAACACATCCATGTCTTTCCTGTGCTGAGGACTCCAGAGCTGGACACAGCACTGCAGGGGGGTCTCACAAGAGTGGAGTAGAAGGGCAGAATCCCCTCCTTGACCTGCTGGCCATGCTTCTCTTGATGCAGCCCAGAACATTGTTGACTTGCTGGGGTGCAAGCACACATTCTCAGCTCATGTCCAGCTTTTCATCCATCAGTACCCCCAAGTCCTTCTCCTCGGGGCTGCTCTCAATCCCCAGCCTGTCTTGATACAGGGGGTTGCCCTGACCCAGAGGCAGGACCTTGCGCTTGGCCTTGTTGAACCTCATGAGGTTCACACGGACCCTCTTCTCAAGCTTGTCCAGGTCCCTCTGAATGGCATCTCGTCCTGCAGGTGTGTCAACCACACCACGCAGCTTGGTGTTGTCTGCAACCTTGCTGAGGGTGCACTCGATCCTTGTCTATGTCACTTATGAAGGTATTAAACAGTGATGGTCCCAGTACAGACCCCTGAGGGACACCACTTGTCACTGGTCTCCACCTGCACATTGAGCTGTTGACCACCATTCTGGATCTGACATGCTAATGCTGATTGACTCTCTTAAACATCACACCAAGAACAGTCTTAAGGTCTTTGTCAACAAACACACACAGAAGAAATATCCAAAGCCCTTTCACTTTATACCAGAGTATAAATCATATAGATTTGTACTCTTTCAAGGTGCTTGAAATGGTTTTATTAATGCAGAAGAGAGATCCAACAGCTAACAAATACATAACCATTAGCCAAAATACTGTTTCTATAATGAAATATTTTCATTTTTACACCGGTCTTGACTGGAATTGCAGGGGGTTTTGAGGTTTATTGAAGTAGTAAGGTATTTTAAAAATAATCTTAATTTCTAATATTTTCATATTCTAGTCTGGAAACAGATTATACAAAGAAATCTTAACTCTCAAGTCAGCTGTCACATGTCTTACAAGGACTATGGAATCATGTATTACAATGCCATGACTTGTCAGTACCACTTAAACAGGAATTTGATATTTTTAATCTTCCTATTATTTCCTATGCTCTAAAAAAAAAAACCAAACCCAACCCACATTTACATTAACTTCTGTTAACCTACACTTAGCGAAGATAGTATTTTTACTGATCACCCACTTTCATGAAAAAAAAATGCATAGCAATTACCCGTCTTCAATCTCTTTAGCTGAAACCTGAATCCCATTTTTTTTCTCTTCCACTTTAATTAGGAGATTTTCCAGGATAAGTCTCTGATTTTGCAAAGCTTCATCAAGATGTCTGAACCTGTGAAAGAAGGGGAAATCCTCACGCCATGTTTTTTCCTGTTGATCAATAATCAACTCATCAGTTGATAAGTTTAGGAGACAAGCTTCCTTAATAACTGGACATCCTGCTACGGATGTTCTCTGTGACCACTAAACTTTATCACCCCTCATATAGGCAGGCTCATTTCACAGAAAGTGTCACTGTGTATAGACAATTCCTTACACGGCTCACACATTCCCACAGGCAAGCAGCATACTTAAGTGTTGGTAACTCTGGTCTTGTACAAATAAAGACAAACAGAAGTATTTGAAACATGCTAAGTATGGAGTTTAACTTGTGTCTTTGAGCACAACCACAAGGAACTATACGCATGCACACAGTAGCTGGGCAGACAATAAAACTGGGAAGGTACACACTGCTGAGAGCCCTGAGTAACCCCTGTGTTACACTGCTTGGGCACAAGACAACTGAACTGACTTTGCTGTGGCTTTTAAGTTTCAATTTCAGCTGACAGGAAATGCAGATAAACAGTCTAAAATCTGAAAGAACTACAGTTTTACACCAGATTATGATTAAGCAGTCAATGTGTGGTACCTGTGCTCCTTATGCTCTGTCAGGAGGCAGCTGTGGCACGTAAGGGTATCACAGGTCTCACAGAACAGCTTGAGTGGTTCTTGAGTGTGCACTGGACAAAATAAGGAAAACTCACTTGCTTCATCTTCAGTTACTAAGGAACATAAACCAACCGTGTCACTGACAAGGATTACTATTATAGTTCAGAAAGAGTTGTCAAACTCTCACAGTTTTATTAAAAGTCTTGATGTTGTTTTTAAAAGACCCAGACCCTGGGACCATCTCATTATATGAAGCAGGGTTTGTTTATATTTTCCCTGGCCTTATACATCCTACAAACTGAGCACATCAAAGGGATTCAGACAACAAATTTGTATAGTCATCTAAACTCTCATGAGTTTTAAATATCCCTCATGATTTTGAGCACTTGCCTCATGACTCTGAATGCCCTGGTTGGCAAACCAGTGAATAAAACTGTACTGTAAAATGTAGAAAAGAAAACGTAATAAATAAACCTGTAGTCACAACAGAAGCAAGGAAATCCTTTGTTCTTAAAAAGTGGCATGGATAATTGCTTTTCAAACTTGTGTTTGTTGTAAATGCAGTACATAAACTTCAGCAGCTAGGGGATATTGATATCAGGCACTAAAACCTGTTCGTAAAAGGATTTTCTAAAGTGTAACATAATGAAGAGTAAAAATGGACAGTGGATATGTAAAGTGGAAGCAATACTACTGTACAATCTATTCTTGCTTTCTTTCCTGCATACAGCAGAATTGTTTTAGAAAGAAGGAAGGCTGTCAAGGAAAGAATAGGGGGGGGGGAAGTTAAGCCATCATGAAAAAACCTCTTTCACTCAAGTTAGACATTCACAAGTACATCTACATTAATAGTTAAGGTAGGGAAGGGGAAGCTCTTTTCTTGGATCCTAAAAACCACAGGCTTCAGAGCCTTATTTTATAAACCAGTGTAAGGACCAGCCAGCATTATTACTAGTGAAAATATTATTTTCTCAAAATGGTCAAAAAGCACAAGCAGTGCTAAAGTACAATGGCAGATTTCTGCAGGTCAGTGCTCAAATTCTCTATCCACAGAACCATCAACATTATTAGCACATAAGGACATATATGGGGACAACAAGAAAAGCACATGATGGCATCCTCAAAGTATTCCTACAGACAGTGTCCCTGTCCCATTAAATAGGTTAAATATCCCATTATTCTTTACCAACACACAAGAAATTAAACAAAACAATTATTTTTAGGTAACACTTATTGATATAAGCTCAAAATGAAATAAAAACATTACTTATTTATATATCATTATTTGCTCTCATAAAATGAGAAAAATGCTTCAGTTTTCCCACACCAAACCTATCTATCTTATCTAAACATTTAAGAAAAACAACTTGTGACAGGGACCATGCTCTCACGCTGTAGCTCATGTAAATGGAGCCCTTTATAGAATCAAGACTCTGAAGTGGTACTGTGACACACAGCATACAACCAGCTATCCTAATTCAGTCACTTTATTTTCAAATTGGAAAATGCACAATATAGAAGTAGAAAGGCTAAAAAAATCTGATGTCTGACAATGAGAATGAAGATATGGAGAAAATCCATGCTGTGCTCTAAAGAAAATATGCCAAATTTCCTTCTTTTTGGATTGCTATCTACTCTAAATTCTTCTGAGATTTACTTCCTCCAGTTCAATTGGCTTTCCCATCTGCCTTCTTAATATAATGTGCAAGCAGGTAATTTTTGATAGATTAGGCCACGACTTTTTATGTAACAGCATTACATAATTTACATTGTTATGAGTTATTTACGGTAGTGTCATGCTTTATTCTTTGGGAAAGTTTATTAGTTTATATTATTATTGAACCAAATGCTAATAGATGGCATTATTAAAAGAGGAAATTGGATCAGAGGGGTTTTTTTAGCCCACTCCAGTATTTTTTTTCTATCAAGGTACAAAGTGAATTCACCAGAATTTTTCTGATTGTACTTCAAATAGATACTTCTGCATTAAAACCTGCAGCTGACCATGCAAATAATATGTAACCAAGCAGGTATATAAACAATATATATCCAAGGTGAATGTTGAAGACCATATTTTCCTTCCCTATGGGGTCAGATATTCTATCTTAAAAGAAAAGTAAAAAGCCCATAATAACTCTTAATTTTCATGAGTTGGAAAAGCCCCTCTAAGTGTTCAGTACCTGCAGAGCATGCAAGCTGTTTTTCCAAAAACTCAGGATCAAATTACCCATATTAAAACTCCAATTTATAGAGAGATGTGGTCTTTAAGGTCCAAAAATAATGAAGCCTAGTCAAAATCTTATATAACAATTTCTCCATCTATCTCTGTCTGGAGGGTTTTTTAGCCTTTGGGTGATTGTAATCATCCCAGAGAAATCAGTGAGGGTTTGCATACTGTGTCAGATTTAAGAGACAAGCAGATTTCAGATGCAAACTAAGGATAAAAATCAATGTTATCTAATTACAACACAGACTCACTGCCTCTGCCACTATTAATTCCCTGATTCAATTGATATATCAGTGAGAACTGCCACTGAACCATGGTATTCTCAACCTATTTTATAGCTCAGAGCTGCACTCTTCAGTTTTAAAATAAGTTGGACTCTTATAAGTCAGACCCTAAAGAAGTGAACATGCCTGCTTTTCCTAGGAGGAGACATCTTGACCATAATTATCCATGTTAGCTTCTTGAAAAGAACCTCACTTGAAGAATGGGGAAAGTTCAGTTGCCCTGACTTCTGAATTAACAGCATTTGAGTCACCATTTTCTACAGCCTATATTTTCTTTGTCTCAGGTGGATCTCTTGAAAAATTAACAGAAAGTTTTAAATCTCTGTTCCTCTGACCAGTTGATGTCAACTTTGGAAAAGCAATCTCATCCTGGCTAATAGAGTCCTCCTTCAACTTGCATAATTCACAACGACTCAAACTTTGGTCTTACAGGTTCCTACTCAGCCTTGAGACACTGAAAGGAAAGGATGGTATAGCAAAGAGAAAATTTTTCAGCTTGTGCACTAGCCTATAAATAGTTGGTATATCAGTACCAGATCATTTACTTCTAACATAGTTTCGGGAAAGCATTGTTTCTACTCAACTGCAAAGCATAGATTTTCACTTAATGAGGAAAGAGTCTGTACTAATACTGAATGTCCTTTTAAGAAAGATGGGACTAAGGGAGGAAGAAGTTCTGGTGTTATGACTATAAGAAGTTCAAGAGCTCTGAATTTACAAGAGTTCACTTATTCCTAGTGCTAATGCAGAGCACTCCAGTAAAAGTTTTGTTCATCAGAGATTATTCCTGCTTAATCTGTCATAAAGCTTTGGCCCATGTTCCAAGCACCTAGTTCTCCAGTGCTTGGCTAATTCATTCCAGAAGCAGATATCGGTGTTTCCACATCTTGTGATCACAGATGCAGAAACTTTTCAGGGGTTTTTTGGGTTGCCTTTTTTTTAAAAAAAAAACAAACACAAAACTGTCAGGAAAAATCATTGCAAAAAACTGCCAGTGGTGCAGTTTAACTCGTCTGTGAACCACATCTCAGCATCTCTTCATATTCATAACTAGCAGTAATAGTCTAGCACTCAAGAGAACTGGTATTTTTGATAGCACCTCTGGAAAGTGGTTCAGCTAACAGGAATACACTGGAGCAATCATACAATATATAAATGTTAGTGGGAAATTTGGCAGGGAGTGGAGGGATGGGAATCAGAGTGTTGTCCATTGTGTGCTATTTATCTGGTGAAAAAAGAAATTAGGTCTGTTAGTAACAGTATTTAGGTGAACAGCTGTGACACAGACCACTCCCATAACTTCCCATTCTAGTTCTCAATAAACATGTTCAAAACAATGAAATCTAACTAGCACAACCGCCCCCCCCAACCTACCAGATGTTACAGAATGCGATGGAGGTGAATAAAATAAAGCCGTTTCCAAACAAGAATGAAGCCATTTCCAATACCAAGAAGCCTTCACAGGGAATCCCCTAAGAGCATCATTCCTTTTCTGGGCCTTTACTTCAGGCTCACAAAGGATAAGTCAGTAGGAAAAAGAAATCAGGCTACTTTAAAATTGTTTTCTTCTTACACAACATGGCATTTTTCTGTCCCAGCCCAGTCCTGCCCCTCCCCACATGCTTAACTTCTAAATACAAATGTGAATGAAGGGTAAAGTTCTCACATTAAAAAAAAAAAAAAAAAAAAAAAAAAAAAAATCACAAGAATTTGGCACACTGGACTGCAGCATGACCTCAGGAGTCACCAGGCTACGGGTGCTGTCTGGCAGCCAGGTCAGCTGGGTGAGCTGGGTCTCGCCCAGCAGCAGTCAGTGGCCCAGGAAGGCAGCAAGAGGATGCCCAGGGTAAGTTGATGGGGATGCTGACACAGAGCTGCAGGCTCGGCGTGGGAGGGGGTGATCAGATGTGTTACTCAGAGCACAGGTATCATGAAGGAAGAAGCAGAAAGAAAGATTTCACAGGGAAGCCAGGCTCCTTTAGTTCTGCCACTCAAGAAAGAAATTGTTTATCAAACTGAAAAGGAATAGGCAGGACTCAATGCATCTGGCAGGTTTGGGTTTTTTTCTACTTTACTTCATTTCAGACCCAGGGAATCTTACAGTTTTCAGATGACAAAAGAAAGTCTGGCCCTTGTAAAGTCAGTTGCAAAAGATAGAACAGTTTAAAAGTGCAAGATCAATGGGGTAGAGCCTCTTAATGCTTGCAAGGGCCTACAGAGAAGGTGGATGTTGTTCAGAACATACACAGACTGAACATGGCTACTGAATCTGGAAGTAGAGGATAATTATTTTCAGAAAAGAAAAAAAAAGTCAACCTGACTTCTAGCATATCCTAGTATTTGCTTTCTCTGAAATATCCTGAGGGGATATCTATGTCCTAAATAAATAATATATACATAAATAATAGTAATTTAAAAAGCACAGATTACATCCCCATTAATCTTTTTTTAGATTAACTAGTTTACATATACACTACCAGCCTTCTTGTTAATTTATTTTCTTTTTCAGCACACAGAATTTAGGACTAAAAAGATGAGAAAGCATTTTAGTTTATATGTTTGCATTTTTTTATTTATATAGCACACACAAAACCACAACTAAGCCACAGGTATATGTTCTTACCATTATTTGTCAACAATATGAGCTGGTAATCTTGGTCAAAGTGAAATTAAATTATAAACAGTTGGAGCCTCAAAACCACAATCCTTATCTTGCCATCAGCTCAAGAAGAAAAATATATTGTCTAACCAATCAGGGCATTTGAGGGGGGACTGGGGGGACTTCAGTTTATATTATTCTCTAGAAGAGACCCAGAAAACTTTTAAATGTCATCTGTGGGTTTTATTATTACTATTCTTACAGACTTTTTTTTTCTGTTTACACTCTATTTGGTAGTGGCATATCATGTCTCAAGTGCCTCAAACTGTTTGATATGAACACCCAGGACTTAAAAGAAATCCATCTATGGCAGACAAAGTACAGGCTTCCACAAGCAAAATCCTAAAGCCAGAAAAAAACCCCAATAATATAAAAAGTATAATCAGTGGGCTAGTTACACCTATGTTTATTCCTTGTTCTGTCTTTCATTTTCCTTGTGAAGAAGAATGATAGTGCAGCACAAACTCTCTAGCACAAATAACTTTTTATGTCAGCAACATGTAAAAATTGTATTAAATTGCAAAACTGTTAGGTTACAAATTGCTTACCTAAGTTTAGGTTAGCACACTCTTCAGAGATTTATGACATATAAGTAAAGAAAATAATGAGCAGTAGTAGGAGAAGATAATTTCTGCAGATCATCATTGTACAGGGATGAGACATAATTATCAGCGGGCTTCATCTGTGCTTGCCAATGGCAATACAATGGTCACAGTCAGGAACCACATTTGTTACTTCAGGCTTAGAAAGGGAACATCCTGTAGTGATCATGGCCTTTTGCTGCCTGGGACTCTCCCTCCCACACCTTGTTCATAAGAACAGGACTTGCTTTATGGTAGTTTCCTGAGGGAAATTACCAAAAGGAGGACAGAAACACGGGAACAGTCTTGGCCTGTTGCTGTTGTAGCCTACCAAAGCCTAGCCCATCGCTCTGCTGACTGAAAAAGCATGTAGATAGTCTCTGTGAAATGCAAATATCCAAATTTTTTCAAGTACTCTGATTGTGGCAAAAGTTATAGAAAAGTCACCATTTCTTAACTGACACATACATATATTTCCGAATCCCACACACAAAGCGTGGTGTCTGTGGTACAGAGCCTGCAACTGATTGTTTTTCGACTGAATAACTGATACGGGAAGAAACAAAATTTCAGAGTTTGTCTTCAGTACCTGTGCAGTCCTTCAGGGATACAGACAAGAAGCGGTCTCCAGTTTCTTTGTCATGTCTGTGCTCCTCTGTGCATGAGCTGCACAGCCACTTATTGCAGCTGGTGCAGAGGCTGTGAGCAGGTCTCTTCGCTTTACACGTGGAGCAGCTCTAAGAACAAAAAGTGCAATTACATACAAGGGTAACAAATTAGCCATACAAACCCCTATCTTTAACAGACTATGATTCAGCTTGGTAAGCTTAATATTTTTCTTCCTCAGGCTAATGCAATTCAAGTGATATTAAGAGTCTGGTTATTGTTGTAAAAGAGCAGAATAAAATTAAGAACAGAACATCATAAAGTTAAGAACAGAATAATATTAAGATCTGAAGCTCTTAAATCAAATTGGCTGCCTTTCTGTGCTCTAGCACAATCAAGCATCGATTATGACATGATACAAGAATTATTCAGCAAACATCTAGGGTCCATGTTATATATGAAGTCAGAAGAAATAATCATAATGACTTGTTTCTTATGAACTGAAAAAGCCATGAAACTATGAAATAAGATGTCTGATTTCAGTTAAGGAGTGTTAGGTTAAAAGTTACTTTTGAAAATGACTGCTGTACTTTGTAATCCCTTTCTGTTAGTGTTGTACTACTTACTGATGGCTTTAACACATGAATGTACATCTTACTTTTATAACACAGAATTGTCTAGGTTGGAACATCCTCCAGTCCAACCATTCACCTCACACTGACAGTTCCCAGCTACACCATATCCCTCAGCGTTATGTGGGCTCTACTCCAACCCCTCCAGGGACGGGGACTCCAACACCTCCCTGGGCAGCCCATTCCAACGCCCAACAAGCCATTCTGTAAAGAAATGCTTCCTAATATCCAGTCTAAACCTTACCTGGTTCAACTTGAGGCCATTCCCTCTTGTCTCATCTCTTACTACTTGGTTCAAGAGGCTCATCCCCCCTCTCTGCACCCTCCTTTCAGGGAGCTGTAGAGGGCGATGAGGTCTCCCCTCAGTCTCCTCTTCTCCAGACTGAACCCCCCCAGTTCCCTCAGCTGCTCCCCGTACGACCTGTGCTCCAGACCCTGCATCAGCTCTGTAGCCCTTCTCTTGACACGCTCGAGTCATTCAATGGCCTTTTTGTGGTGAGGGGCCCAAAATTAAACACAGAAATCGAGGTGCGGCCTCACCAGTGCTGAGTACAGGGGCAAGATCACGTCCCTGTCCCTGCTGGCCACGCTATTGCTGACACAAGCCAGGATGCCATTGGCCTTCTTGGCCACCTGGGCACACTGCTGGCTCCTGTTCAGCCAGCTGTCAATCAACACCCCCAGGTTCCTCCCTGACTGGCAGCTCTCCAGCCACTCCTCCCCAAGCCTGTAGCGCTGCTGGGGGTTGTTGTGGCCCAAGGGCAGCCCCCCGCATTTGCCCTTATTGAAACCCATACAGTTGGCTTCAGCCCATGGCTCCAGCCTGCCCAGGTCTCTCTGCAGAGCCTCCCTACCCTCGAGCAGATCAATACTCCCACCCAACTTGGTGTCATCTGCAAACTTACTCAGGGTGCACTTGATCCCCTCACCTAGATCATCAATAAAGATGTTAAACAGGAGTGGCCCCAAAACCGAGCCCTGGGGGACACCACTCATGACCGGCTGCCAAGTGGATTCAACTCCATTCACCACAACTCCTTGGGCCCTGCCATCCAGACAGTTGTTTAACCAGCAAAGCGTGTGCCCATCCAAGCCACGAACAGCCAGTTTCACCAGGAGAATGCTGACTGGCTGGTCAAAAGCTTCTGCCTTCCCTGCAATAACCAAACTGCTTAATCACAAGTTTACCTGAACAGTTGTTCAGCTATCAGTCTGACTGGCAGGCAGTGGTTAAAAGATAATGAGCAAGTTTCACTGATACATGACTTGACTGTTAATAAAAAGGAAGTAAGCCAAAAACTGTGAGGAAGGTTTGTGAGTCCCTCTAGGGTACTCCTATGCTCCAGTGAGAAATCTGCTTTACTGAACTGCTCTTAGGACTCCTAAGGGATTACAGAAAATAAAAACCTTCTTTTAAAGAAGGTTTGGAAAAAATAATCTAGTGCTTTTGAAGGCATTAGATATTCTCATTGGATTTTCTTTCTACGCAAATTCTCATTGAAAGGTAAATGATGCAAGTCATGGTAATTAAGAAATCCCAGTAGAATAAGTGCATTCTAAACATTCAGCAACATGAATGTTGTTCTCTTTGAAGAGTGCACGTGAATAGACCACTTGCTATTTTAGATAAAGTTATGCTGCACTCTTCAAGCACCTTACACCTGAAGATGTCAACACACTCTACTTGCATCAATTTTTTAATTTTTCCAGAACACTCCATGGATTAGGCTACACATCCTTTCCTTTTTAACAATGGAGAAAATGAAACACAGAAATGACTGACAGGGAAGAAGTACATCTGCTCTACACTTTTTTGCAATGATGTCACTGGGCAAGTCACTTGCACAATTTAAAGCAGTCTCAAGCTTTCTGCATGGTACAAAACTGACCTACAAACTGTTGCTGCCCCTACAGGAGTTAAGAGGAGTGGAAGGATATATCTTCTGTTCCGCATTATGGAAAAAGTGTTCCCCTCCACCCAAAGGCCCTGAAACTGAATCTCCAGTGTGGCTATCCAGTTTACTTAGGAATCAAAAGTGCAAAAGAGACAGAGGTCCAGGAGCTGGCTCAGAAGGTGAAGTCCAGCACCCTTGTTTCTTTGTCAATCTTCCCTTGCTTTGAATCACACTTTGGATAAAACAGTCAGCAGATTACATAATAGTTTTGACAAGTTTTCACCTGTTTTAACTTCCAGCTACAGGTAATACTATCACATTCTGAACTCATTCATGCAAATAGTAGAATACTGTTCTGTAACAGAGGGGGGCAGAAATAGCCAGTTTCTCTGTCCCTCCTCACGACCCAAGGTAGCAACAACTAAAAAACTGTGAGAATAGTCCTGCCTGTTAACTGGGTATTTAACAGAAGTGAAATCCATCTATGTACTGTGTCAATACAAGGCCAAGGTAGTAATCCTATGTGTTCCAATTGCCCTTTGCATCCACTCCCCAATAGGAAACTGAAATATGATGTGACCTTTTTTATCATTAAAGCAGACAATCAGAAAATGCTGACTGCCTACAGGACCTAATGGGTAATCTTGGTGTACCTATTCAGCCAACAGTCTGCTTCTGATTACTTTGTGTTGAGAGCAGAAAGGGAACAGTGAGGAATCTGAGATATTCCATATCTTCCTAATATATTGATTGTCACAGATCCAGTCCTACACCACTGGTATCAATATTTTTGAATCAACTCTAATTTAAGTACATAGAGTCAAACTTATTCTTCAAATACAGTTTTAAAAGTACTATAAAGTCAGTATAGCCATCTCTAGCAGTGAAGCAATTACAGTGACACATAAGCAAACTGCAAGAGTCTGTTGTTCAAGACGAAGTTTGCTCTGTTTTCAAACAGTGTTCATCTGGTAGTATTTCAACAACTCACAAGGCACCCAACTCAGTGGGTTTTACTTACCTTTGCCATAGCTGAATTACCAGTGGGAAAGTCCTTGAGAAAGAAATTTTCAACTACATCCCTTGCAAAGCAGGTCTGTTTGCACACAGGGCAGGAAAGGATACCTGAATTAAAAAAAACACCAAAACCACCACAAATAAAACAATGCACATGAGCCATGTGAACCAGGAAATTATATAAACCGCACTTCAGTATTGCTGGCTTTTTTATATCACACAGACACACTTAGTTACAGCAAACAAAGGCATTTTTCAAGACACAAATTACTTGTGGCTATTGACAGTTTAATACACAGGAAAGAAACATAAAGCAACAAAATCCCTAGAAATACACTATAGTTCAGCCGACTTACTTCAGCATTGTCTGCATGTCCAAATTCCCATGAACTCATTAGGGTTTACTGCTTTGACAAAAACAGCTTCACTCTAAATTGTATTCCTTTGTGACAGATCTACTTGTGCTTTCCCATACTTGCTACAGTTCTTCTAGACCCGTTTTACATTACAGAGGTATACCAAAGCATAATACAGACATTGCCTCATGCTAGTTTTACAGTGCAGCATGCTGTCCAACTGAAGTGAGAGTAACATGCTGCTAGCAGAAGCAACAAGTCAGAATAAAGGATTAAAAAAAGTTTCATAAATAGAAGTCAGAATTGCAAACCATCTATTAAAACAAATCCACAGATGGCAAAAATGTGATCGCCCCTAAAGGAAAGCAAAGTGAGCACCAAAACCTGGCCCCACCTTCATTAGCTATTGACTGCAGCTGAGATGAATTGTACTGTTTGCCTGGGCTGAGAACTAGCTCTTCAAGAAGGTGTCCATAACTGTATACCTGCATTTTCGTGTGTCTGCTATTTTATTCCTAGACTTCTTGGGCTAGGACTTTCATTCTTCTAGAAGGTCTAGTGCCTTTTTTTTTTTTTTAAAAAAAAAAAAAAAAAAAAGAGTGTGTGCTTCTGACCACATTTCTGTAGACTACAGCAGATGTGAATACAGAACTTTAGAGATGGTGGTGGTGTGTCAGTTTATTTTTACCTTATCTTATCAAGTCTTTTTTTTTAATCAAAGTTTTTCCATTCTGTTGAGAACAGAATTTCAGTGCTATGCTCACCTTGCCAAGTAATCTATTTATGATAAATTACAGCAGTATTTTCCATGACTCAATGATGCAAACTCACTTAAAGTAAGATTTTAAAAGCAAGATCGATGACAACTTTCTGCTGGACTGACAATGTTCGATGTGCTCTAAACTAAAATTATTTTTGAATAAGGAGAGTGGCCTGTAGATTAATTAAATCTTAAGATGTCTATTATTCTTCACATTAGACAAAGACTTTCGTGTTTTCCAGGTGCTTAGTATTACCTGCCCTTGGGACATGGCTCTTGCAGTCCCTGGCCAGGTGCACAATTCTACCTCTGAATGTTTCCTATTTTCAGAAGCACGCTGCTGTTATTTTAACAGCAGCACTTTATATTACAGAGGCGCACAAACCCCAAACCCTTCCTACATTACCACTTCTGACAAAAGCACTATGCAGCCAGATGTCTGAACACATTCACTCTCATTCATAAAAGTTTTGAAGAAACTTTTGAGTTCTGCTACATCTCCTTTGAAGAGGACATCTTACTAAGAACCACTTCCATGAGGTTTAGGTCTTCTTTAGCCCAAATCTTGTTATAAAAGCAAAAGTATATTGTTTACTGTTTTCCAAGGTTGCATTTACAACAGAATTGTGATTTGGGGACCCAAGTGGCAGACTAGGGTCTACCTCATACTTGTTTAACCGTGCATTTCATACAACACTGAGCGTTCATGTAGACACAAGAAGGAACAGGTGGTATCCATGGGCACCTGTGCTACTCGGCTACAAGTCACCCCAGGGGAAAGGTCAACACAAGCAATTGCCAACACTTTGCTCATATTCTAGGCATGTAACATGAGTCTTGTTTAGGTGTGTCCTGGTGACAGGAGTTACAAAGAGGCTAAAAATTCATCTGATAAAGATGCCTGTGATGGCAGAAAGCTGTAGAAGTCTCTTAAACTCTCCTGCTATTTTGCATCCTTAATACAAAGAGCACAGCTGAAAAGGTATCTTATTTACCTACAATATTTGTAGCTAATCACCTTCATATGTTACACCCTAGGACAATATAATGCTTTTATATGTCACACTGAAACCTCTCCACGCTTTCTCAAATTATGGATGTGTCTTTTAGATATCTGCTAACAGCTCAGCTCTCTAGAGAAATGTAAAACAGTTCTCTAGAGAAATGTAAAAACAGTAGGAGTACTGCAGCACCTAAGATGTGTTATACAGACAGTAGCCTCCTACTCCTTGTAAATGGTGCACAGTACAGGCGCCAGTGAATTGTGATGCTAATGTAATGCTAACTCCTAGAAGGTGAAACAGTTTTTAAGTTTCCCTGTGAGCACTTTACAAAGTGACATAGTTATAACAGCGGCAGAAATAGACAGATAAGTTTTGATTGATAAACTAGGAAGCAAAATACCTACTTTGTAATCAGCTTCTCCAAGAAGTCTCACAGGACGTGCTCTAATTCTCAGTGCAGTCGATAGGAAACCATCTACTGATTTTACAGGGAATTGCCTCTAGCCCTTTGAGACTTTGAACCAGTTTCTTACTCCCATAACTGCATTGCCCAAGCAGTGTCAGTTCTTGATCTGGTTAATACAGAGAGAAAACCTCCATACTGAGACTACATAATATGTCACAAATAGACCAAAGGGGAAATTATCAACAGGTTACTTTCTGAGGTAAGAAATGCATGACTCTCAAAGCTATTTCTTCATCTACATGCCATATGGGTGAGCACAGTCTTACACAAAACATTTCTGGAATGGCTGCTTCCTGGGAACCAAAAGCAGTGCTTGGACTTTGCCATAGCAAGGACAACTTCTGTCTACACACCACATAAGGTTAAAAAAAGTTAATATGGAAGTTACTATTTTATTACATTCTAGCACTATTCAGTTAATGCAGAATATTAAATCAAATTATACCAGTTGAATGATATTTAATGGAATGCTCATGGCCTCAGGCATGTTCATGTGAACTTTAAATTCTGCTAATTTGTTACAAACCAGTGAAGTATAAAATACGTTGTATAAAGAATGTATTAATTTGAAAATGGGCAAGACCATCTTTTTAACGTTTTCAAATGTATTTAAAGAAAACGTCAATTTTCACCCTAAGAAAACATACGTCCTGCATGGATTTCAGTTCTGCACAAAAGTCTCGTTATATATAGAAATGCAGTGGTATTAAGAAATGTGGAACAGTCGTGATTTTGGAGGTAGATGACATCACTGCTGATTAATATGAGGGGACATCTGAAAGTGATGGCCTGGATACCATGGGACAATATTTTGCCAGGTTTTAGACCCAAGTTATGCTACTGAAATCAGTGTTGTTCTAGAGATACACATGGAGTGCGTCACACACACAATGGTCAGAGCTTTGTATTAGACTCACTACCATGGACCATCAAGTACAGCTTCGATTGTGTAAACATCAAAGTGTGTCTTAATTATCAAAGTAACTGTGAATTCATAACGATTTCAAATTTAAAGCTCCCTTGCAATGAACACAAGACACATATAGCCCTCAGCTTAATTAAAAAAAAAAAATAAAATCAAAGAGCATAACAGGTAACAGGAATAATAACGGTGATACCATGGCAATACTGTACTCGAAGTAGTCTCCTACTCGTAGGACTAATCAGTAAGCACCTTCTCACCTGTCCTAGTACTGAATTCTGTATTTATTACTTTATTAAAAGCACAGGAGATGGGTTTGCATGTTGCTAAAAGAGGGATTCCCTGAATGTGGTAGCTTCGGAGATCATACTTGGTCAGCTAATTGGGCTTCTTAATTGATTCCTTTTCTGTTTAATAAAAACCCTGTACTCCCTGGAAATGCCCAACCTTTTTCCATATAAATTCCCAAAAGAATGTAATGATAGCTTGGCATAATAAATACACTACAGAATGGTTTGTGAAGCAATAACCCTGAAATTAAACAAACCTAACACATATATTTGCAAATAGCCACTAGCAGCAGCTACCTCAACAACACAAAGCGAGCCCACTATGCTGTGCTCGTGCTCAGAGTGCAAATCACCAGTAAAGCACAATTGCCTAGAAACCTCTTACCTGTCCTGTGGATAAACAGTCACTTAGAGAGCTACAAACACAGTCACTTGTGTCAGGGAGTGGGTGGTTATTAAGCAGAACTGCACACACTGTGCACTCGCTGGAATCAGGCTTTGCTGTACTGCAGATGGAAGTCACTATACCTTACACAGACTATCTGGGGCTGCTCCTCCTTCTTCAGACAGAAACACTGACAAATCAGCAGGGCAAAAAGATGTACTGGGCCACTACAAGATGCATTTTTTCTTTTTTCTTCTTTCCTTCTTTCTTGTCCTTGCCTCTCAGATTCATTCAGGCCTCTCTTAACTTGCCTTGGTAGTACTTTTCCTGAAGTGGTGGAACAAAAATCCCATAGTGAGAATGAATAGCAGTGTCCTGCTTTCCTTCTTGTCTGGGTCTTCTCTCAGTCCTCAGAATAACCAGGAACAAGTGTGCAGAAGGACAGAGAAGAGCTTTTCCAGATTCAGGTAGCAGCAGGTCTTACAACTCCATTTACTTCCACATTACATTTTGCAGACCATTCCCTAAATACTTTTTTTCTTGCTTTCCTATCTCACCACTGCCTCTAAACAACACTCTTAATTTGTTTTAAGAACCTGTACTTTGCAGACAGCTCATTTAAATATAGTATTATTACAGCACTGTGGGTGAAGGAAGAGTAGTCAGAAGCCCTAGAGACTCACTGTTTGTACGTATGAGAATGATGCAATTTCTGGATCTAAATAGCAATTCAACATGGAATTACAGGATTCAAACAACAGTTTACATACTAAGAGAGCAGAGGCCAAATTCAGATATGGTGCAGTCATGATGTTCAAATGAAGTCCACTATTGTTATCGAAACCTCTAGATGTAGCAAAAAGCTAAGAGAGTTGTTGACATGCTCTATTTTTGTATGGAAATTATATTGGTAGGAAGGAGTTAG